CCGAGAGGCCGATGGCACACACTTGTTGCCTTGCTTCTGTCAGTGACTATACAGAAGTAGTTTATCACCACGGTGTACGGAGTGAATTGATATTTACGTGTAAAGTGTCTTTGCGTGTCCAAGAATGTGCTATGTAAAACCAATGCATTATTTTTATATATGCAAGTGTCAAAGGAAGAACACTCTCTTTGCAATGTCATGCCACTGCAGCCCCCAATATAAACTCTACATCACCAATTTGGAGATCATATTAGAAAACTATGTTACAAGCAGAGAGAAATCATTCACTGGCAGAATATGAGACAGTTGAAAACTGGTCTGAAGTGCTATCTGTGGTCATTCTCCATCTTTGCTGCGCCGCTCACCCACCCACCCGCGCTCAAGGATGCATGAAGGACACACACCTTCTCTGTGACTCTCCTCCATCCCTTCATCACTTCTCCACCTCCACCACTCTCTAGTTTTCTCATTAAGTCCACGGTAAATCAGATCACGCCTCGCTGAAATATATTACCGATTGGAGGACAGAGGAGAGACGGCAATGAGGGGCCGTGTAACGATGTGGCCCTGTGTGAGGGACACGTGGGCCAGTGATGAACGAGCTCTGAATGGGACACAGAGGAGGCTAAATCATGTATATGTGGAGAGCCAAGCATGTTCCAACAAGCTGCACGTGTTATGGATGTGCAGGTGGAGGCTGAGAGGAAAGAGCCAGAAATATGGACAGAACTATGAGACTTCTTGGTGGTGCATTATTCATCTCAGACTTGAGAAGATATAACCAAATATGTAGAAAAATATATTAAAGTACATGTGTGATTTCTCTCTGCTTGTAACATTGTTATGAAGTTTTTGATTAGGATTTTAAAATTGGTGCAGCGTTTTTATTGGGGGCTGCAGTGGCACAATATTGCAAAGAGATTTTTTTCTTTAACACTTGTGATAGTTGTTATAATAAAATCAATCAATGGTACTTTTGGCTGCCCATTTAAAGAAGCAAAGCAAAAGTTAAGTTACAGAATTAAATGAACATTCTGGGTTTCACCTGTATATAGAGATTTATAGACTCCTCACATAGCATTGTTCATTCACTCTACACGGTGGTGGTGAACAATTACTGTATCCACAGTTTCCCTGCGGCAGACCAACTTTGTATTTATCACATGTGACCAATAATAACTGGCCAGTCCGATGCCTTCTATCCACAAAATTAGCTCAAGAATGGACAAATCATTTACATGAGCCTTCACACTCGTCTTGGTCATTGAGCTCAACCTTCTAAAATTATCCAGGATCTGATTAGGTTTGTTGAAGCTTTTTTCAGTGTTGTTACTTGTCTTAATGTCAAGTGGTTTTATCATCTCTGTGCATGGTTCTTCCCGTTTCTGAAATTGTCCTACACTGTTTCTCCAGTCTCCCAGAAATTTGCTGTGCTCCACTCCAACATTTAGGTAAAAAAAAAAGAAGAAATTTTCCAAAGAGCGCAATAGATCATAACCTTGACCCAGTCTAAAAGTCGTATAGGATTAATGAAAGAGTGATCAGATTACATACAGTTACAGTAGGTTTTCTTCAATGTCACATTGGGATATATCATTTTAACTAACTGTTACAAGTAGTACAACAGGAGTAACCAATTTGAACATACAAACACATTTAAGGAAAGGAGAAATCAAATTAAGATGCATTCTTTTGTCTGCTATTTTCACCTAATTCTGAAATATTGATTCCCCCTTTATCTATTTGAGCCTCCTTTCTTTTCAATCCGTTCTTGATTGCTATAATTGAGACATCACTTCTGCATCCTTCTCTGCACCTGGGACCAGAAACACTCACTTAAGCATAAAATGCAAACTACGACGCATTTCTGCTCATTTATCAAACCACGAAATAACTCAACGTTCGCTTGACTCATTTGCAGAACACTGGTAGCATTAGCGACGTATGCAAACATGTTATCTATTTGAGGAGATAAATGGTATATTTATCAGAGCGTCTGAGCTGAATTAGCATAATAGAGCCATCAGCAGACAGCACATTAGGCTACACATGCCACAACAAGAAGAGCCGCTCTTAACGATCTGTTATACAGCATTTTAATCAAACAGAAAACAATATCACATTCATCTTACATCTACACAGAGAAAACAGTTGTCTCGGGCCAAATTCTGAACTGAAAATCTACACATTTTCAAACTTGACGTTTAAATGAGTTAAAAAGACTACTCAATTCAGCGTGAAGAAAAACGTGTCTTATTTACTCGCACTAATGTAATATCACAACAATACAAGAAACAAGAAAAAAAAATTGTCAGTCCAGCTAAATTTTAATGACGGTTATTTTTGCCATGAAGCAGTAATGAGACTAATTCATCATTGCACTCCTGTTTATATTTTGTTGGCAAATCTTAAATGATTGTGCCAATATGTTGACAGTTACATTATTTGACATTACAAGAGTTACATTTATGATTGGATTGGTTTGTTCTTGAACTTGTTATTATAAATACGACTCTGTTCTGAGAAAGTGTATTTTGGTTGTACATCCGGCATGTATTAATTATTCAGCGTGAGCAGGTGGGAGGGGCGGTGCAATGTGGATGGCTACAGCAGTAATAGTAATGATGTTGGGGGGGTTAAGTCGATGATTTTGGAAACCCCCATCCTCATGAATCTGTAAAAGTGGGCGTGAACCGTGGGAGGACAAAGACTCACAACCCCCTTCAGACTTCAGCTCGGGAGACGACACGCTTCACGAGCCGGTGTCCACACACGTCCCCAGTCGAGCACAATGGTTATGTTTATAATGAAATTCCACAGTCAGAAAATGAACTGTCATCTATGCAATGCCCTGACCTTTCAAACTGTGAGGAGTGCGAAAAAATACCAATAATATCCCTGTATATTATTATATGGTCAATTATTCTATACAATAGGAACATTTCAAAAATAAGAAAACCGTTTGATAAATGGCACTGATGTTGATACCACAATATCATCTTTTTTTTCCACAAAATATTTGGTAAAAAATATACATATTTTATTGATATTAATTTTATTTTTTTCCCTCTTCACAAAAGAAAGTAGTCTATACATGGCTATTATTGTACCTTTTAGCAAGCAACCTCCTATGGAGTTTTTCTTTTGACAATCTATATAAATATTATTATATGGTAAATATAGACTAGTGCTGTTGTTTGTGTAATGCTTATTCATTATTATCATCATCATAATAATATATAATTATTATGTTGCAAATGTTTGTAATATTTTCAGAGACACAGAGTGTGTATCTAGTTTTTGACTGTTCTATATTCCACATTATGTACTGTGCATTGATTGCTAAAATGTTTTGGTTGTTAACTGGTTTTACTGTCATAAAAGTTGAAGGGAACTCTATAAATACAATTGTTTTGAAATTCCTTCAAAATATTTAGTTGTTTAAACGATTCAGCAAACTTAGAAACCCATAATTGTCATTGTCATAAATGACAATACGAGCCCAATACCAAGTCTGGCTTGTTTTCATCTGCAATTATTTTTTTAAACTGAAAATAATTGCAGATGAAAACAAGCCAGACTTGGTATTGGGCTCGTATTGTCATTCAGAACCACAGCTGGAGAGTTTCATTCAATCTCCGGTAAACAAAATGTGGCTGAGTTTACTCCGCGGTGAATTGCCAGTCGGCTTCAACACATCCTCACTCACGCAACACATTGATTCAAGCACTGATTATGTGTGAATCCCATGGAAAGTGAAAATTTGTGAACTCAGTATATTTAGAACAGAGAATAACAGCAAATCTCTCAGGTTAAGGTTTTGCAAATCACTTTACAGATGACTGGAGGTGATATGTTGCAAACTAATAGTCAGGGCGTGTTCTCACTTCAGAAGCAAATACACCAGTGCTCATCGCTTCACAGATCTGTGAAGACTCGTGAAGTAGGATACGCTTGTTTGGTGTTTTCACATCTCCACAATAGCAGTATACTTAAGCCAAAACTGCACTAGAGTTCACTTCAAAAGAACCCAATGTGCAAACAGACTTAGATTTGGTACTTTCTGGACTACTTAATGCACCTGTACTGGACTGTCACTGGACTCACTTTGGTAAAAAGCAAAGAATAGAAGAGATTTATCCTTTGCATTCTTGAATCAACTATCCCTAACCCTAGCCCTGTGAGTCACTATTTAATGCTTGAGCTGAGAGCTGATAGGTGAAGGTGGTCCTCTACTTTCACTTTTGCATGTGAAAACTATTGGATGGACTGATGGAATCCATGATGAAACTTGTTAGATGTATTTTATATCAGTTACAATTTCTGTTTGGAATTAAGTCCCCAATGATGCAGAAAAATATTCTTTTACCATGGTTAATATATGTTTCACTTCTCAAAATAGGTAGCAAAAAGATAAGGACTTTTGGCTGTCCTGCAGTGGTATAATTTCAGTGTTGCTATGCACATTACAAGAACAGTAGGAATACAAAAGAAGAATGAAAGAAGAATCAAAACAAGATAAATAGCGATACTAACTAAATATTTATGCTAGGTAATAACAGATTGCGTTTTGTCAATACTGCTGAACCATAGAACCAGTAAAACAAACCGTGTCTCTCAAATTCAACATGGGAGAAGTTTGAGAATGAGTGCAGCACAAGGTAAAGACAGGAAGTGTGGAAAGAGAGTTGTTCCATTAGCAGAAGCGTGATCAATACTGGCGTCTAACACAGCAGCACTCCAGCCCTTCTCGGAAATAACTTTCTATTATGATGGGTCCCTTAAATCAAGAACACAACAGCAGGTCTTCTACAGCCATACAAACATACATGCAGTACAAACCAGATGAGGTTACAGTTACACACACCGATACGAGAACAAGACCCTTCAAATAGACTGCCCTACTGGAATAAAATAAATGAAACCATAGTTCTATAACAGGATTTTTTTTGGTTTATTTTCTGTAAGATGTACATTAAGTAGAATAAAAATGTACTCACTGATTCAGCTCCACATCCAAAATAAACCTTCGTCCAAAAGCGTCCAATTGAAAAGTTGCTGTAGCCACGTGATTGACCTGAAAGCAAAAAATATATTGTTAACCTTAATACACAACAATTACCCATGCATTATGGTGATCAAGTCTAGTCAGTGGTTGTGACAAGATATACACTGAATATGCCAGTCACAGCAGATAATTTCTACTATTTGAGATCAAATGTGTGATCATTTGAACTGCATCACTACAGCGTGTGCAGTGACAAGGGAGCAGCGTCTGCTATCAGAGCTGTATCAAACTGTGGTGATGAAGAGGGAGCTCTGTCAAAAGGCAAAGTTCTTAATTTACCGGTCAATCTGCGTTCCCTCCCTCACCTATGGTCATGAGCTTTGGGTAATGACCAAAAGGACAAGATCGCAGATACAAGCGGCCCACATGAGTTTCTGCCGCTGAGTGACTGGACGCTCCCTTAGAGATAGGGTAAGGAGCTCAGAGTAGAGCCACTGCTTTTCCTTGAGAGGAGCTGTTTGGCCTCCTCCTGGACGCATCCCTGGAGAGGTGTTCAGAGCCTGTCCCACAGGCAGGACACCTGGGGAAGGCTCAGGAAACCTTGGAGGGAGAATGTCTCTCAGGTGACCTGGGAACGCCTCAGGATTTTCCTGGATGAGCTGGAGGAAGAGTGTGTGGATTTGTAAGTCTGGGCGTCTCTGCTCAGACTACTGCCCATTTGTCACAACAACAAATCAAGCGAAAGAAAATGGATGGATGGATGAACTGCTTAAACCTTATAGGAGAACATGTAAACGTGGGCGTTTTTTCTATATAGATTATTGCTATACTGCATTTTATTAAACTCAAAAGATGCACAATGGCGTGCATTTGGTATTGTACAGTTTTAGTCTTGCGCATTTGTTGTAAGGGCCCGGTAGGGCACATAGGTTTTCCCAAACGAACTAGGCCAAGTGGCCGGGATCGTCGCCACAGGGGTGTGATGACGGCCTGTGGTCAGAATGGTTTATTTTTTCAACCGTGCCAGACCAACTGTGCTGTAGTACAACGCTCGGTCCAGCTGGTGGCGTTAATACTAACTTCATCGACTACCTCGGGATCCGAGTTAAGTTTCCGTTTCTCTTCCTGCTTACACTCTGCTACTATGCGCCAACAGCTCCAGAATGGATTGCGTTCTTTGGAATCAGAGTCAATGTGTACAAGTGTGAGATGTGTCTTTCTCCAATGTGGAGCAGCTCAAAGGGTAACGTGTGTGTTTTTTAAGCGAGCACGCGGCGGACACGGGAGCACGCCTTGGAGTGAACTTGAAAAATGACCGATGAATGAATGAGAATGAATGTGTGCTTTTGCCACAAAATAAAGTCTGATTCTTGAGTGTCTGAAGTGTTATTGGAATAGCACCACATTGTGACAGCGAAGGTCAAAGCAGAAGGGCGTTATCCCCATGCCCAAGTCCACCTGCCGCGGTCACATGGCACCTAAAGCCTGGATCTAATCGCAATCTGGGCCCAGGCCCACCTTAACTGGACTTTAGGTTGAGCTTGTGACCGCAGCCTTAGTGAACACTTTTAAAGCATTTTGACCGGATGAAAAGAATAATAGGGGAATAAAATAACAATGGGGGGTAGCTTGGGAAAATATTCACAAGCTACCCCCCATTGTTATTTTTTTTTCTTTTAAAATGTAGACATCATCACATGTGACATTTAGGAGGAGGAGGGTATGATCCATGCAGCAGTGGGCACATATGGTCAGCTTTATTACACTGCCTTAGGTCAATGAAAAACCCTCGCTCAAATCATTCCTTTGCACATTCAGGGAAGTCCCAGAGCTGAGTCAAATCCACCCCTCCCCTATCCCCAAAATCTACCCGACGCACGCAGCGGGACCATAACAACGAGAGGGAGGAGGGGTGCACTTTGCTTTTCGTACGTTTCCTTTTGACACAATGCCACACGTTCACCCAAGGATGACCAGGGCCCGTGGCGGGGCCCCTAATGACTGCACATTGCATTGTTTGGGCGTGTGTGTGTGGTGACTGCATTCAGAAGCCAGTGAACGTGCGTGGGTGACAGAATAAATGCAAAAGACAAAAGGCTCTCTCCGCAACACACTTCACATGAAACTCAATCCACCGAAGTGACTTCATAATGGGAGGAGGGACCAGTAATTGCATTTAAAAGAAGACTTGTCCTAGATGCTGTTGCCATGCAGGGCCAGTATTGTGTGACCACTGGACTCTCCTCCCATTGATTTCTGAGTTATGGCCGGAATTACTTTTTGCATGTTCATTGAGGAAGGGTAACTGTTAATCCCATCCAGATTCTCGTTTTGCCTGCGCCTCAGATGAAAGGCGACACACGGTAGATTAGATTTGAGCATATCTGTTAAACTGAAAATAGACAAGGAGGGTCTATAAATACTTCGCACTTTGTCATGCATCTTTGTTTTTGGGCCGCTGTTGATCTAAAAACAGCTGATCAAAATTTACAACTTCAGAAAGTCAAATGAACTCTCTGGAGACCAAAGAAGGAAAAATTATATATTCAGATCAAAATCAGACTCCCAGATTCTCTCTCCCATTAACATTACATAATTTTGCTTCACAGATGCATATGCATAACCTACATATCAAAAAACCTCAGAAATGAGGTTTACATAGTAAGAGTAATAACAGTAATACCACAAATAATCTAATCTAATTTAGCTGACAGTCTTCTCTAAGTATTAAAATAAATTTCATAAAACTTTTTAAAAGATCTGCTCCCTCGGTGGGGAAAAATCCAAACTCCCTTCACACTAAATAATGCAAGTTTTGGAGTCAATAGTGAACCATTACTAGAACCATGCAAAGAAAAAAGGCCTTTGTTGTTTTTGATATATGATATGATTAAAGACAAATGTCCTATTCAAACGTGCATGTATTTGTAAAGAAGACAACAAGCGAGGTCTTTCCATTAGATGAAGCAGTTTAAATTGCATTTAAACCAAGACTGAATTGTAGATGTAATTATTTCCTGTTAGGGCCATATTTCTGAAACAATAATAAAAACGACAAAAAGCGTGTGCACATATTCCAGGCATGCTGGGTTTGTTTCTGTATATCACAACACTCGCTGCACTCCTTGATAGAGGGCGTCAGTCTGCTGCTATTGGATACTTAAATATCAATGTTTGCGATTTGAAACAAGAGACAAGGATGAGAGCAATTCTAGTGTTGGTTGATTTAGGGGGCATGGGGCATCCTCCCTCCCCCCCCTCCCCTCACACACGCGCTCAAACGTGGGTGCTGTACCTGCGTGGAGCGAGCTGGATCCATCTTAATTTTTTTATAGCCACATGACAATTTTAGTTCATTACTCTTTGTCAGATAAACTCAGGTAGTTTGCCTTTGAAAGTAAATGGTTAGATCCTTCACTCAGAGCCTTATGCAGACTAACGTGTAGTAAAGAAACTGAAAATGGATGGAGATTTTCCTCAAACTGAATAATGTCACAGAAATTGGCTCACAGATGGATTTTTATTACCTCTTTGAGTGTCAAACCAATGGCTCAGGAGCAAAATGTCCCTTTTCTTGGCCATCGGACTGTCAGGTAAATTGGCACACGACAGAGTTATAATATAAACTTATTCACTGTATTGTTAATGATTGTATAGTAGCACTCAAAAACAGCACAAATGCAACTTTTCGGATTGATTCACAGAATTTCACATCATTCTGTGGCTTATCGCTCATCTTAGCTGTAATATACATAACGGCCCTGGATGAGAAATGTTTGGACACCCTTGACGGAGCACTCAAACGCCACAAACAGGAAAGAAGGTTTGAATTTAGGCACAGATCTGCATCATAATTTGTCTTCTTAGTAGACAAGTTGTCTAGACATTGAAGTACTAGAATTTTATATGCTGCTATCCAGTATATATAACAACAATATGAGTTTATAATATTTCGGGTGTTCATTTTGACATGTTCACATGAAGTCACCGAATTCAAATATCTAGGATTATACATTGATTCAAACCTCAGCTTCAAAACACACATCCAAAACACTAGCAATAAGATTAAATTCTGTTTATCAAATTTTAGGTTCATTAGAGACTGTTTGTCAAATGAAGCTGCCAAAATATACTTCTTTTCCATGGTCCTCTCACATATCACATACTGTATCATAAGTTGGTCAAACGCACACGCCACAACAATCAAACCCATGAAATCATTATATAAACAAGCGCTTAAAACATTGGATAAAAAACCCTACAGATATCACCATTGTCAGATTTTACAGAAATATAAGTTACTAAATTGGGACAATCTTATAAAATTCAAAAACATTTGTTTAATGTATAAAATTAAAACTGGCTGTGCTCCGCCTTCACTGAGCGAGTTTGTAAACTTCAGATCGAGTGCAGCCAGAGTAACTCGAGGGGCAGTGAGGGAAGACTGCGTCCTCCCCCTCAGAAAAACTGCATTTGGTCAGGCCGTGTTTTCTTATAAAGCCTCCCAGCAGTGGAACTCAGTGCCTGAAACAATTCGCGAGTCATCCTCATTTAATTCATTTTTTTAAAAAGCCAAAAAGTGGCTCGTGGAGACACAGACTTGTGAGCACTAGTTATATTGAAAATGTATACTTTGCTCATTTCATGTACTATGTATGTATGCAATTATATTGTGTCTTGTAAATTGCTATGTGATTTTAATCTTGCTTTTTCAGGCTGGCTTTGACATCTGCCAAAGGGTCTACCGATGAAAATTAGCTTTTCTGCTAACTCGGGCATATTTACATTGTAAAATGTTGATTAATGTGCACTGTCCCTTTTCAAATAAATAAAATCTTAAAATCTTAAAATTATGTTAAAAAAAACGGCTTTGAAGTCGCACCTTTTCACAAACTCTAGGGGGCGCCAAAATGGCGGCGATGACGTAGCAGAATGACATCTCACAGCAGAGGACAGCAGTCTTGGCTGGAATCTGTTGGAGGTTTTACTGTCATCTGAACAAGGTATAAACATATTTTCATCAGTTTTGTACATAATAGTGTGCAACTCTTCTAACCTTTTAGCCTTATTTGTGAGATTCAAGATAATTAGTGTTGGGCAAGTTAGCTAATAGCTAACTCTACTTGATATCATAAAACATGCTTACAAGGCTAATATTCGTTTTTACATTATGCCAGTCTCACTTTGGTTACCTTAGATTTATTTACCACAATGTACATTGTTGCACACTATTATGTACAAAACTGATGAAAATATGTTTTTACCTTGTTCAGATGACAGTGAAACCTACTACAGATTCCAGCCCTGAGTCTACTGCTGTGAGAGGTCCTTCTCCTACGTCATCGCCGCCATTTTGGCGCCCCCTAGAGTTTCTATGCGGAAGTGAAAAAGTGCAACTTCAAAGCCGTTTTTTTAAACATAATTCATCTTAACATGTCAAAATGAACACCCGAAATATTACAAACACATATTGTAGTATGTATATATTCTGGATAGCACCATATTAAATTCTAGTACTACTTTAAGTTACTGGTTTCATCTATTACAGACTATGAGGAAGACAGAGGTTTGCTGTCGAAACATGCCAAGGTGATAACATTGCAATCTTACAATAGTCTGGAGAAGAACCAAACAACTTAAAGAGCTGCATCATACTGAAAAATAAATCATGATACATCAAAGAGAATGTGGAAACCGTCTGAAGCAGATGGTTTGCTCTTGTTGTTTATGTCTCATGCTGCTGTGAGTGAGGTGTGTGTGACAGAAAGGGTTAACACCTCCAGGATGCCTCCATCTGTAACCGGCTCCACTCACTAAGCTTCAATAGAAGAGACACACACATGCAAGACAGCTCTACAGGAATCAAACCAGTACACATGCTTCATCTATACAAATAAAGTCGCTTGTCTTTTAAAGTTAGACTGAAAATACTATTTCCATATAATAAGTAGCCTACAATAACCAGACGTCAACAGTTTCCTATTTTTGTGCGGACCAGTCCTCTCTTGTGATCTATCTACCAAATTACTAATATAAGCTAGTGTATTAAAATCTAAACGTTTTCATATTCAAAACCTGTCCGACACAATTTCACAGAACAAACAAAGAAGCCCAGAACAGCTGAGAGTTTTTGAAAAAAGGTTAGACGAAGAAAATGCTTTGAAAAATCCAAACTCCCTTCACACTAAATAATGCAAGTTTTGGAGTCAATAGTGAACCATTACTAGAACCATGCAAAGAAAAAAGGCCTATGTTGTTTTTGATATATGATATGATTAAAGACAAATGTCCTATTCAAACGTGCATGCATTTGTAAAGAAGACAACAAGCGCGGTCTTTCCATTAGATGAAGCAGTTTACATTGCATTTACCAAGACTGAATTGTAGATGTAATTATTTCCTGTTAAGACCATATTTCTGAAACAATAATAAAAACGACAAAAAGCGTGTGCACATATTCCATGTGCACACGCATGTTGGGTTCGTTTCTGTAAAACATAACACTCACTGCACTCCCTGATAGAGGGCGTCAGTCTGCTGCTATTGGATACTTAAATATCAATGTTTGCGATTTGAAACAAGAGACAAGGATGAGGGCAATTCTGGTGTTGGTTGATTTAGGGGGCATGGGGCATCCTCCCTCCCCCTCCTCCCCTCACACGCGCTCAAACGTGGGTGCTGTACCTGCGTGGAGCTGGATCCGTCTCTCACGCGCGTGCTGAGCGCTTCTTGCCCGATCTGAGTGTGGTTGTGTCGGCTGTAGAGAAGGCGGACAGGCACGGTGTCTTCCCTCTCGTGGAACCTGTCCGAATTACGCAGCGATTTCAGGCGCGACAAGGCGTCTCCTGGAAGAAACATTATAAAACATCAACGCCATCATATTCAATGAAGCGGATTCCTTTGATAATAACACAGGCCAGTGCAGACTATAGGGTTAATGGCAGAAGGTAAACAAATAAAAAAAATGCTCGATTTAGATTGCGTCTGGATGTCTGGAAGCAGTGTATTTGTGTTTTATAAGGCGTCACTTTATATGTATTACCGTTTGGGGGTTCAGAGGCGCTTTGGAGTCCGACGCGCATCATCCCATACACGCACAAAAGGGAAATCCACCATCGCGGACGCAGCATCTTCTCCATCTGTGGAAACCAAGAGACAATGCGGTAATCCACGGGCAAGATCGCAGGGCCCGGCCCTCGCTAGGGGAGGACGCGCTGGTGTCTTGTGAAGGGGAGAAAGCAGCAGTCCCTCCGGTTCGGGGCCATGGATGGGGTCCTGGAGCCGTCTGAACGCGTCTGGAGCGCAGCACAGGGAGAGCTGGGGGAGGATGGGGAGGATAGAAACACCAATCCTCCGCTGTGCACGATACATCAGAGGCGGGGTTAGCGTCACACTATGAATATATGCGTCGGTTTAAAAGTACATGTTCATAGCAAACGTTTACCTTTCACAGAGAATGTACTGGAAACATGTTTTATTATTTGTGCATATTTTATTACATTCTATAGATCTTTAGTGAATATGGAAACCAGACACACAGATTATTTCAACAAAACCATGGCATTATAAAACATAATTTGGAAACGTATGAATGTTAACAGATGCCATTGGCGTCTGTTTAAATGAGTGTTTTTATTTCAGCATTTTGTTGTCATTATGTTTGGTTGAATCAGCTTTCAGCTTCAAGAGTCTCAATCTCATCAATGAATATATAAATATAATTTCTAAATGTTGGCATTCTTTACATTTTTTACATACACACAGCTACATTGCAGCTATAAAAACATTCAGATCATGAGGACATTTACAAGAGTTTTGGCAGATGTTTATCTTTAGTTTATTCAAACCCATAAAACTCTACGTCCATTTCATCACTGTCCTGAAACAGCTCCCACAGCCTCATCAAGCTGTCACTCACAGCATCTTCAATGCTGAACCTCTGTCTGGTACGTTTATAAACTTTAATTTTTCTCTTTATTTTGTCTTTCCTAACAAAAGCTTCAGACGAACCCTCTTTTAGAGAGACAACGTTTTCTGTAGATATGTGTGCCAGGGCAAGAGGAGGAGCCTGCAGATTTGTCAGCCTTTCTGACTTTGTCTCATGAAGAGTTTCTGGTTCCCTTTTAACATTCCCAGCTGCAGGTGTGTCTTGGCTAGAGAGCTGTGCTACTGCAATGTCACCTGCAGGGGACGCCAGCTCTCCCATTGTGAGATGCCCACGTTCTTGTGAAGATGAGGTCGCAAACCGCTTGGGATTGTGTCGAGTGTCTAAGAAAGCGAAGGCTTTTCGTCTTTTCTTTGTTCTGAGAACAGAAGTCGCTGTGGATGCAGGTCCTGAACACAGACCTTCTGTCCTTTTACTGTTCAAACAGAATTGATCCAAATCAAGCTTCGCTTTAGAGTCAACTCCATCCTCATGTCTTGACTTGGTCTCCACACATGGTCCTGGAGCAATGAGGACTGACGACACACTGCACTTTGGTCTAAAAAGGAAAGAAAAATGTGTTTTCCTGGGAGTCATACACAATAGGGAGTAATGTAATCAAAATCCCACCGTTTAATTTTAGATCGGTTGAAGTTGCATGGCATTGCTGAAACCAGTTTGTCCACAACAAGATACTTGTCACTTTTGGCGAAAGTCTTGTGGCGATCACTCTGTAGGTGCTGTAAGAAAGGATCCATCATTACAAACTAGAAATAAACATTGTGAAATTTCATATTTGCTTCTACAGTCCATAAAGCAGCATTAAAAAGGTTAACATTTGCCGCTACTGCACAGTGATGGATATCATTTGTTTGAATGGTATTTGGTAAAGTTGGGAGGTCTTGAATAAATGGTTTTGGTTTTTAAATTGAGCATCAATGACTCGATGACATTGGTAAGAGCATAAAACACTTACTGTTGTGATGTTCTCGTATTTCACCAAACAGCATTCGCAAAATCCTCCTTGTTTCTTCTTTTTTCGTTCATTTGGTCTCTCATCAGAGGCTGAAGCTTTCGCTACTCTGTTTCAGATCAGTTTTACCATTAACAAATAAGACTACAGAAACGATGTACTTTACAATGTGTGCAAGACCTGAAAGTTATGAGTAAAGTAGCATTTGATGTTACTATTAACTTCAGAAATACCTTTGACAATGGGTTCCGTTAGCTACCACTTCTTTGTCTTCTAAACAAAACGGCGTGCAGGGAGGCAGTGACGTCAGGTTGAACTCTGGGGCATTTGTCAGCCTGAGGTAAAATGGTCGATAGTGTCTGAAGAAAAGACCAAACTTTAGATGGTCATGTGAACAATATTTTTTTCTTTTAGATTGAGCAGCTTTACCTGCTTGAATCTTCAACTTTGATAAAGGGTTTACCAATACGTCCTGCTAGAGTTAGACATAAAAACATTCATAAAATATGGACAACAGATGCCTAATTTAGAGTCGTAAATATTTTAATTACCTTTGGATTTTTGAAAACCACATTTTGTTGATTCATTTTTCATCTAAATTTAAAAGAGAGACATTGGTCTGTTTATTGAATAGTTCTATGCCTAGAAAATACTGTAATACAGCATATAGAAGGAAGACTCACATTCGTTTTGACAACAGATGGAGCAGGTTGTTGACAGGAAATGCCCTTTTTCTTTTTATGGACATAAGAAATCACATCTGCAAAAATAACACATGATTGATCGTAACGTATTCAAATCACACCTACTCAAGTCAGATGTAGAAATAATGTTTTAGAGGTACCGTCTAAATACAGAATTTTAACGCCCCACTCCAAAGCATTTGAGAGAATCTTGTTCATTTGAATCCTCTCCTAAAAACAAACAAAACACATAAGTTAAAACATCCAGGGCTCAGTGACAACACTTGACATCAGCTTCACAAACCTGCTCTTTAACCACTTTTTTCACTAACGTTTTTCCTCGACTTATAGCAGCCTGCAGAGAAGCAAGAGAAACATTAAAGGACATGTCTGGTTGACCGTTACTGGAATTATTTTTCACTTCATTAAAGCCAATAAAAGTCCAAGACACAACAATCCACAGGTCAAAAACCAAAAATGTATGAACCAATACATGTATGTATTTATCTATACATTTTTTGCTGCTTTCATTTTTTTGGCTTTCTTTATTTTGAAACGTAAAGACTCATGCAGGACTATTTTCTCCAATGATATTGCTGATGCTTACAGTCAAACATCACATAACATACTCTGGGTGTAAACTTAAGCATGGACCAAGTCCATGTGAGGGCTGTTTTAGAGGGCGGATTTGTGTGCGCTGGACTAATACAATTTACATTTACAGACCAAGAGATGGGTTGAAATGTCTGGGATACATTTGTTGATATTAAATACAGACCATTTGCTTTTGGAGCTGGGCAGAGCTTTTGGAGCCGTCTCCAAGGCTCTGCGGCTGGTGTGGGTTGGAGCAGAGTTGAGGGGAACTCGGCCCAGATTCTGGACTTGGCACCGGAGAGTCCTGCCGGAGGCAGTGCACATATTTGGCTTCTCTTTTATTGGTGACGAGGTACTTTATTTCTTTACTGAAGAACTTTTCCACTGTCTTTGTCACAAAACAGAAAAAAAATAATCAGTATTTGTGGAGCGTCATGTCATTTTAAAGAAAACATGACATCTAAAGGCACACACATGAACAGCCAATGCAGTCAATACGTTTCCATACAGTGTTGGCTTAACATTCTAATTATATTTTTTGTTTTTCATCAATGCTGTGAAGTGTTTTCATATTTTTACCCCTCCTAATAATTTGATGTTATCTTCTAGCGTCTCTGCCACTTTATTAGACGTCAGATCGAGGTAAAATACTTTTCCGGTGAAAGGTTTGGCTCTAGTCGTTTGTGAAGCACATGTTGTTGATCCCTGGATCAGTGCACCTTTATCAGCGTCTGAAAGTTAAATCATACAACATAAATATACATAATAGATATAATTATCAAAAGAGTTTAAAGGGACAGAAGTGTAATTTTTGGGGGAACAGGGTCTTCTGTAGTTTGATCAAATCATAATTAGTTTAAAAACAACTTTATTTACAGATGATGTTGCCCCCATCAAAATCAAACAGACACAAATGTGATGGCAGATATTTAAATAGCCACTGTGCTCTTTTGGTCCTCGCCAGACACTTGCTTCTTTCATAAAATCTTCTAGATTTGCAAATAACATTAATTACAGGGATTACGCACAAGAAAAATAATACAATACCCCCAAAAATGACAGTTGTAAAGGTTATAAGGAGCCTTCCTTTAGTGATTTTAGTGAATATTTATTAAGGAAAAATAATGTATCACCATAATTAAAAATTCAAAATAGCATCACTTCACTTGGGCTACATCCTCTCAGATGAATCTGTGTGATGAAATAGGAAAATACATTTTGGAGCTGAATATAAGATCCACCGTCTCTACTTTTTTGTGTGTATTGAAGTTTTAGCAGTAACATAAACTTAAAGGTATATAGAAGGATCTACTTCCGAGTGGATCAAAAAGATTATTGGTCCTCCCAATTGCCAATCATTCTGGTGATAAGTGCTCATCAAATACGACCAGACAGTTTTGTTAAAAAAGTGGTGAGGGCAGTTATTTTCTAAAATTTGGAAAAAAAACTCCCGTCTTTAACATAGATAACCATCAGCTCGTTTTGTGATTTGCTGCAGCTCTGTTCACACGTTACACTCATGCGACAGGTTGTTACTCAAGCATACAAAATGTGAAGAGATAAGAAATATATATGAATACCTTTCACTGTCCCCTTGTTGTGCTTGGGCTTCATGATGTGATCAGCTGTTTAGACAAACGAGGTGTAAACAATACGCGCCGTAGGTAAAGGTGTTTTGAAGCATTAAGCCCAAACTATTTTTAGCACAAGTAGAATATCATAAAACAAAAACAGTGCTTTCCCCTGGGTCGCTTTAACTCAAGCTGTCCCCTCCCTCCTCGTTGTTGACAATGTTAGCTTTAGCATTAGCTTTGTCGACATTTCTTCTTGCGCGAAGGTAAAACAAAACAATGTCTTCGGAATGGACTAAGGCCAGTCCATTGCCGTTGTAAAACTTGGACAATAAAAAATTGGGTTTAGAGAGAAATGTATTTTGCAATTTGGAATAACTTCAGCGAGTCTAACCGTTTCGTCGGTTCCCGCTTGAATCTAGGATGAAAAACGCGTTGCCAGGTTTGGTATTATAATTATCTCCATGTGGCTACAGTTTAAAACTTTTTTATTACACGTATTTGATGTTAACACGGATTATAACTATACAATCTTGAATTCAAAGGCGTCCTAAATATTATGGCTGTATCTGTTTTTTTATGGTTGTGAATCCAATATAATCCAATATAATGCTAGTTTCTTAAAATCTGGCAACCCAAGAAGATCAGAATCAAAAGTTAAAGTTGTTAACAAGCTGTCGTAGTTAGCATAGCATTCATTTCAACCATTTCAAACAATATTATACATGTGCGTATGTTTTATAAACACGTATACGTTTTGCAACAAATTTCGCTCTCTCGCTTGTCATAGCAGTGTAGTATCATGGCTTTTCACATGAGGGCAACACTGAGCATTGGAGAAGAACGCACAGGAAGCAGATTCAAGTGGCGACTCGGTCGTCAGCATGGGTCGTCAGCCACAGCCAAAGTTATGAAAGAGCAGAGGCATTCGTGTGTTCACACAAGGAATCTGCTAACAGGTGTGTATTCGCAATAAATTTGACCTTACGTGTCCTACAAACACGAACAAAGGTAATGCAAGGATACGCATGGTTATGCTCTTGTTGGTCTGTCACTAACCTTTCTGTTTTGCTATGACCAGTGTTGACAGAATGAGTTATCAAAGTCCTGCATCAAATGTTAGTATTACTCCTCTCCAGCAAATGGTGTCATCTTGTTCTGGTGCCATCATTACATCTTTGTTTGGTGAGGAATTACTTATTACTATTATCAAAAATATGTCTACTGTTCTAATTATACTCAATGTTTATGCTCTCAGTGACACCTTTAGATGTTGTGAAAATAAGACTCCAAGCACAGCAAAATCCATTTCCCAAAGGTATTCATAACTTCACTGTGTAATAACACATTTATAGCAGATCTTTATGACCATTTCATATTAATCCAGGGAAGTGTTTTGTCTACTGCAATGGACTCATGGACCACATATGCGTGTGTGTGAATGGAAACTCCAGGGCCTGGTACAAGGCCCCTGGTCGCTTTAGTGGCACAGTGGTATGAAATATTATTTTGGTTTGTATATCTTTCTTTCTCTGATTGCGCCTTACTGTAAGCTGATTTTCAGGATGCTTTTATAAAAATAATTCATCATGAGGGGATCAAGTCTTTATGGAGTGGTCTTCCTCCAACTCTGTAAGCAGCGGCTCATATACTTAATTGCGTTTATTGTTTTATCAAAATATAAATATATATTATTAGTGTATTTTTCATCCAAAAGTCTTCTGTGTTGTGTGCAGAGTTATGGCAGTTCCAGCAACTGTTATCTACTTCACATGTTATGACCAGCTGTGTTTGGCACTGAGGCTCAGAATGGCAGATTACGCACAAGAAGCTCCTCTTTTGGCTGGGGCTATTGCTCGAGGTAAATATAGAACATTTTACCAGTTTTGGTTCCATTATAGGCAAAGTTCAATAGAGATGTCAGGAACAGTAGGAAAATAAAAAGCACTCAGAAACTATTTTGATTTCTTTTACTTCTAGATCATTTATCTTAAATATGAAAATATATGTATTCTGCATTATATTATTAGCCCTAAGACCATTGTGATGCATTGTTATTGAGTCAGCAGCAAACATCATTCATCTCATAGAGCAATAAGGATTTAAAGTTGGACATCAACTTTAGAAAAATATTTAATAGCAAAGCAGAATAGTGCTTTTATTAACAGTTAACTTTAAAATATTGACCATCGTCCTAATTAACCATGGCATGTTATACCTCATTTTAAAGTAAAATTAACCATAAACACTATTTGTAATATTTCATAACAAAATATTGTATAAATCAGCTTTCTTTACTTTTTTGCTATCTGGCCCTGTATAAACACATACTAAAGACAGTTTGCAGTCATGGTGTACATTTCAAGGACTCTTTATGTTTCAGATGGGTTTTAATAGTCCCTTTTCCAAGTTATTATGCTCCCAATTCTCAACTGTTTGGATTTCTTCCATGTGCATAGTTGGCTCAGCGACAGTGATCAGCCCATTGGAGCTTATTCGTACCAAGATGCAGTCTCAGAAGCTGTCCTACAGGGAGCTGACCGACTGTATCCGGTCAGCGGTGGAGGCAGAGGGCTGGCTGTCACTGTGGCGTGGTCTGGGTCCCACTCTCCTCAGAGATGTTCCCTTCTCCGCCATGTACTGGTACAACTATGAAAGAGCCAAAGCTTTCTTATGCCAGCGCTACAACACTACAGAGCCAACGTTAAGCATCAGCTTCATATCTGGAGCTTTGTCTGGATCGGTGAGTTAACCTTCTCACAACAAGATTTTCCTTGTTCTCATGAGTACAAATCTGTGACCAGCAGTTTAATGTTTAAACATGTGTCATCTCACAGTTTGCGTCCATTGTTACTTTACCTTTTGATGTGGTCAAAACAAGAAGACAGGTGGAGCTGGGGGAGCTGCAAGCCAAGAACTGTAAGGGTGCTGATGTTAGAATAGTTTATAAAAAATGTGTTTTATTGGTTCGAAGTATGTGTCTTGTTATCTTCAGTGTCTTGTCGCGGATCGTCGACTTTCACCTGTATGAGAAGGATAGTGGCAGAGCAAGGCTTTTCTGGGCTGTTTGCCGGTACAGTGGGCCACTCAAAATCAGTGTTCATCATTTGGTCAGATAGTTGTTTCATGTTTTGTTGTTTTCCACAAGGTTTCTTGCCAAGATTAATCAAAGTGGCCCCCGCCTGCGCCATCATGATCAGCACTTACGAGTTTGGGAAGGCTTTTTTCCGCAAACAGAACTTCGAAAGGTCGTTACAATCCAGCAATGCCAAATAGTTTTTTTTATCACTCATACTTGTTGATAGGGACAGGAAAACATGGCAAAAACAAATATTTACTATATGTAAAAGATTTATTTATAATTGATAGTGTTATGGTCACTTTATGAATTTGTTGTGAAACAAAAAAGATTTGTATTATTAATTATTATTTTATTATTATTTAAAGCAAAACAGCAGGTGGCAGTATTAACATGTCTTCCATATATTTCTTTATAAAATGCCTAAATGTACTTATGAAGTTCTACAGATAAAGTTGTTTGATTGTGTTGCCTTGTGGAGATCCAGTCAATATCATGTGAAGCTGATCTGAATAAACTGAATCTATTATGTAATTGTTTTATCACATTTTAAAAAGGGTCTCCTAAATCTTCTTCAAAACGGCATTATATATAATTCCCATTATATTTATCAAATCAAGTCTATAAATACAGCATGACTTATCATTAAATAACAAATGTATAGGTAGCATTAAATAAAGCCCCAAACTAAAAACAGGGGCCTCGAGGCTTATAGAACTCGTAACACAAGTTGTACTGCTGGTTTTTGGTAAGGAACATTTCCCTGACTATTTCCTATAAACAAACAATTATTCAGATGGCTTATTTCTTAAGTTATAAAGTGCTTGTATTTCTTCTTAGTAATGCTGATGACCATTTAACTTGATGCACATTCCTCTGTTGTCTTCAAACAGGTAGGAAAACACAGATGCATTCAACGTTTAACAATACAGAGTCAAACAATGATGTATAACTAACTAATAGGTAAACGTGAACATTAGTCAGCTCCACTTTCAATACACTAATAAGCTATTAGGGAAAATACTTAAGAGAGATGACATTCAGAGAGAGTATTTTAACTTATATGTAAGTGAACAAAATCCAGTGAAGCTTATACAGTGTTTCAATTACAAATATCTAAACATTATTCATCAAAGCTGGAGTTGGACACAAGTTATGCTATTCTACCTGACTGACTATGATGCTTCAGATGGAGGACACAGATGTACAGCATCCAAGTCTATGGGAGATTTTCAAGGATATTCAAACTAATCACACATGTTGAACCTTATCACTTTTATGGTTTTTTCACTCATTCTAGCTTACTTTATCTAAAAAATCATCAAGAATATTTAAAGGAAAATCGGTAAGAATCAAACGTAAATCAGTTTGAAAATCTTTTGGAGCCTACAGTAATTGAATGGCTGAAATTTCTGGCCTCAATGCTGCAAAGGTCACTATGGAACAGGGACTGGATTGGTCAGAATTGCTGGTGCTCAGGGCTTTTTTCTTTTAAAAATGATGCATGTTTTTGGCGGTGGGAGAAACCGGAGGGCCTGGAGGAAACCCACCATGAACCCACCAGAGTGGTTGATTAGATACGCGGGATACAGCTTTATTTTGATCACATTCCCTGAATCCAGATGTAAGAAAAAATCTCACACTTATCTTCTTGAGAAGAGGATATTTAAATTTGAGGAAACCCTATTTATAAACCAAAAAAATGCAACCTACCATGGCATTCCTACCATAAATATACAACTAAACCTAGTGAATGCAACCCATTGTCCACAAGCATCCCCTGCCTTCACTTAGTCGAGGCAGAATAGGAAGCCTTTGAACTTGCTGGTGGGCGCTCTAAAATCTTAAATTGTTGTGGTTCCAGTACATTTTTCAGACTATGAGAAGTACTCCTGAAAGCAGTAACACACAGATCAGAAAACAACATAATTATAACGATATAAAAGTGACACAGTTCATATTACATACTTTTCCCACTGTCCCATTCGCTTCTTATAGAGCAGCGTGTCCAAGGCAACAGCGTCTGTGTCCACAGAGTGAGGGGAGGGCCACTGGTTTGTGAGGTGGGCAGTCAGCTCCTGCCTCGACCGCAAGTCGTGGTTTTTGAGTATTGTTCTGAAAGTGAAATAACACATTTAGAAGGCAACTGTATAAAAGAATGAGTATAAATATTGTTTTTTTTTTTAATTCTGTCATTATGAACTAAATTAGTTTCATAGTGGGACATGTCTCTTTACGCCCACGTGGTTCAGTTTTTGGTGATGCAGGAGAGAACAGGGGCTGAACCAGACATTTTAAGCACTTTGTGACCATGGTCTGTGAAATGTGCTATACAAATAAAGATTGCTTACTTACTTACCCACAAAGAGTAATGGGTTTAACAAGGGTTAATCACAAATACATTGGCTCACCATATATATCGAGAAAAAAGAATTGATGTATCTTTTTTTCTGATCAGTGAAAAGGTGTGTGCTGGCCTCGTATGAAAACCAAAACAGTACGTTATAACTTATGAGTGCATTTCTGAAGGTCAGTAATATATCAACCTTTAAATTGATTATTGTTATTGAGGTATGATACACAAAACATAAACACAATGTCGGCTGAATGGCTCACAGCTGGTCCTGCAGCTCCAGGATGATGTACTCCAGCTGCTGTTTGTCCAATGTGTGTGAGAGCTGTGCGTCCGTCAGGCTCTGCTCCAGAGCTTTGTTCTGGGACACGGCCTCCGACAGCTGGGCCTCTCGCAGCCGCACCAGCTCCTCCAGGTACCCCTAAGAACATACAACAAGTCATCATTGTATCGCTTTGTTTTATTGCAATACGATTACAATTACAATTTATTCTTGTATAGCCCTAAATGACAACAGTAGCCATCTCAGAACCATTGAAATTATAAACACAGATCAGAGAATCAACAGTTAAGACACACAAAAAATCAAACACATATGTAATGGTTCATAGGGAGAGACCAATGTCCATGAATGTGGATATACTGTATGTCCATACATGTTGTAGAATTTTAGAATTCTAGAGTGTGAGTGACACTAGCTGTCCAACAGACCCTCCTGCATCGGTAAGGAAAAACTCAAAACCCCAGTGGGAGAAATAAAATAAAAATAAAAAACACAGATTCATCTATGTCTACTGAATATCACTTTTCAGGATAATTATATCCAGCCTTGTATGTATAGAACTTTGTCCTCTATAAAGATAGATATAATGCTTTTACAGCTAGCTTAGAAACATAGCATCTACTTATATTGTATATTTTGTGTGCTCTACTGTGTGTACTACAGTCCTGTATGTGCTCTGCACTATTGAAATTTCCCCACTGTAGGACGAATAAAGGATATCTTATCATATCTTCTCTTAGGTATCTTAGGTAGATTTGTGTAGATACTCTGATCATCTGATATACTGTTGGTGGACTTAAGTGCAAGGCGTTATAACACATTTCATTTCACTTAAAGACAGTTCATATTAGTTCATAATTATTACTGGCAAAATATTTGCATCTTTTTCACAACACATTATAAACCATAAGAGGCACATGTATAGATTGTATTTTCTTGACATTTCAATTGCTTTGTTCTGTGTTCAACCTTTAGGAGCTCCACCTGTAGTGGCTCTGAGGCCCCCCACTTAGGAAAGCACTGGCTATGGAACTGTAACTTAGCAACCACTCATGCCACAAACCTTCGGCACGAGTGGTTGTATTGAGAAAGTATCATTATTAATTTGCCATCAGTGTCATAAAAATGTATTACGCCAAACATTTGGATGAGCCTGAGATCTCGGCTCAGTTACTGTCCATCTGCCATATCCAATATTGTTCCAATTCCAAATTTATTGCAATGTTTTCCGCACATTATTATACAACCAGAAAATAAAATAATGAATTTATACTATAGTGATTAAATTCATTAATGCATTAAAGAAAACTGGACTGTGTGTGTGTGCGTGTGTACGCGCACGTGTTTGTTTGAGATCTTAACATGGGCTATATCAAACCCGTTTTGAAAAAATGTTTTCTGTTTATTTTGTATGGTTCATATTATTTGTGTGACATGTATACACATGAATTAGATAATTACTTCTACTACTATGGTCGATATTGATGTCCAGTACTATTATACCTTTTGCTCCAGAGCCATGCGGTACTTCTGCTCAAAGCGTTTGCACTTGCTGAACAGGGAGCTCTGTTCAGTGAAGATGGAGGCAGCGGTGGCTGTTCTGTCGGGTGAGCTGCTTTCACTCCCGCTGCTGCCCATGGTTCTCATCTCCTCCTCATCACTGCTGATACTGTCTGAGCTGTATTTCACAACACCATGTCAAATCATTCATATTCTTAATCAAATGAATTAAAAACAACTATAAAACATTTCTCTCTGACTGGAAACGCATTAAAACAAGATCTTATAAAGAAAAGTAACGGAATTACAAAAACACAAATACCTTTGAACAAACTTCAAATATGGCGTGTAGTCGATGACCGCTGGAAAACTCCCATCTAGTGCCTCGCCTTTCAGACAGAAGCTATAAAACCACAAACAATTTGATTACTAATAAGTGTACATTCTTTGTGCTGCCCCTGAAGTCTAATTCAGGGAAAGAAGGTTCCTGGTCAGTTGTTAGGACTCAGACCTGGATTTTTCAATATCCAAATAAAACCACCAGATCTCACAAGGTGGAGCACAGATTGTTAGAGTCAAAAAACTTTACAAAGAGGAGTCTATTTTTAAATTTGGGTCAGGGTTCACTCACTATGGGGCCAAAGTAAAATGTATGAAGGAAGATTATTGCCAGAAACATGGTTTGCCAAATAAAGCAAGTTTTCACTTTTAGATAAATTTTGTTTCAAATAAAATTTTGTTTTTCTTTCTCTTCAAAATTGTTTTGTGATTTGTTGTTGTTGCCTTTCTTGTTCAGTAAAGAAGTTGCTCTGTATATGAACTTTACTGCACAAATAAACTTGCCTTCCCTTAATTACGTCAGTGAATACCTGAAGTCTATAGTGTTCAGGCCAATGAGTGTGTCTGCTAGCAACGCTGCCTCCTCTCCCAACATAATGGCTCCGTCTTCATAGAATCTCCTGCAAAATACAGAAAATGAACTGTCAATGAATCATGTTTTCAAAGTATACAATATGTAAAAGTAACTTAATTACCTGGTGATTCTAAGGTCTCTTAATGCTGAGGAGATGTACTCAGCAAGTCTTTTTTCCATTAGGACAATTCTGATCCAGGCTCTGCCCTATAAAACAAATATACACATTTATTTTACTATCATGCAAAGAAAACAAGATATTTTGTTTATTTTTGGATTGATATGCATTGGTTTTAAAAGACGCGTCACAATGCGGGGTAAGTTCCTTGCCTAAGAACACAACAACAGTTTGGCACTTTACAGACACAACCACCCCACTGTGACACCTGGTGTCCACAGATGTCTCCCATCACAGTAATAACCAGGCCCTGCCCGACTTAGCTTCTGCGGTGTATAGGGATCAGAATTTCTCATGCAGATGGTACCAACATTGTGCAATATTCTAATGTGTATCTTTGTTTTAATCCCCCATTGTTTACTTTATAATATATGTTACCTACAGTACATGATTCCATAGAAATAGTTGAAACCATTCTGGAAGCATATATTAAAGTTGTTGCTGTATTTGGAATATGAGTTGTGTTGTGTTTCTAAACTTTTTATTACACTGGGTCATGTGATCAGCTTGTGTTCAGAGTTTGGACTTGACAAAAAATGGATGGATGATAAATTGCATCAAAATCAAATAGTGCTTCCAAGGTTTCATACATTCATCATCATGAATAATATTGATATGGATTAACCCGGGCAGCTCTATAGAGGATAAACGTGATTACTTACCTTTGCTTTGGACGACTGCACATTCTCCATACTCTCAATACTTTGGATGCAGCTGTGAGCGACTTTACCACAAGCCACTTTAATAAAATCCCAAAAACTGCGAGTGCTTTCAGAGCCAAACCATGTTGTCTGACCTGAAGAAAAACAGAGACAGAGAAAATGTGTTGCACTTTGCTTGGACATTCAGCCAAATGCTTGTATATCGTGAAGTTACAGAAAAGTTAACTTAAATCTAGAGCATAAACTTAATGTGGAGGATAAGTAAGTAAGTGTAATGTAATCAGTGTGTGTACTGGCAGTGGATTATGTTGGACTAGGGACCTCTGTGTTCCAGGCTTCTATGGGAAGTGAATATTTCCTTTTTAAACAGCTCTATAACATGTAAAGTAATTAGGTTAACACATTGAAGCAGAAGTCCTCTCCCAGTTTAGTTATCATGGTAGATCCCTGGTATTGGGTTTAAGCTTTCTGTTATCATATTATGAGAAAAACAAAAAATTGCCTCTCAATGAGAAGAGTGTGAAGGAGGTGACATCCGAGGCACACGCTATTACCTTTGAATTTGTGACTGAGAATGTGTTCTAATATTGAGACAAAGTTTGTAAACTCTGAAGAAGAGTCTTCTAAGGTCTCAAAACACGAACGATCCAGAAGCGTCTTGACTGAGAACCTACAAGTTAAATAAATAAAAAAACAGGGAAAAGATTTAAATCTGCATCACTCATACAAACTAGAACTTCTATTTCCATGTGTCATTTACATCTATGCAATTATCATTAATCATTTTGGCTTTATTCTACTGTTGCACTGCTCTTGTACTGTGCTATAGATTTCTCATTGTGGCATAATTCATAAAAAAAAATATCAGGCACTGCATTTCTTTATAATTATTATTATCTTGCTATCCTATACTCAACCTGACATTATACTTTCCCCCAAAAAACAATGAATTTCGATGCATGATCCATATTCTCAAGACAGTAAACCACTATGCTATTTGACTGCTAGAGCTAAAGGGCGCTAAAGGCTAATCAGAATCAGAATCAGAATCATTTTTATTGCCAACGTAAGTAACGGGAGGTCACAGACTTGGAAATTGCTTTGGCTCAGTGCAACAGTCAAAAAGAGATAATAAAAATAAGAATAAAAAACACTTCTAAAGAATAAATTTAAATTTAAAATAGAGTTACAGTTACTATTTACAATATACAAGTGCACATGGTGCACACAATGTAAGGTGACAGCAGTACAGTGAAGTAAAGTGACGTATGATGGGCAGTAAAGTGACTTTATAAAGGGCGGGGGGACAGGTTAAGAAGTGTTCAAGAGTCCAACAGCAGAGGGGAAGAAACTGTTCTTGTGGCGGGAGGTTCTAGTCCTGATGGACCGCAGCCTCCTGCCTGAGGGGAGTGGTTGGAATAGTCCATGTGCAGGGTGAGAGGGGTCGGCTGTGATACGACCAGCCCGGCCTCGAGCTCGGGCGACGTACAGGTCCTGCAGCGATGGAAGGCTGCGGCCGATCACTTCCTCTGCAGAGCGCACAATGCGCTGTAGTCTCTGTTTGTCCCTGACTGTGGCTCCAGCGAACCACACGGTGATGGAGGAGGTGAGGATGGACTCGATGATGGCCGTGTAGAACTGCACCAACATCTGTGCAGGCAGCTTGGCTTTCCTGAGCTGCCGCAGGAAGTACATCCTCTGCTGGGCCTTCTTGATGAGGGAGCTGATGGTCGGCTCCCACTTGAGGTCCTGGGTGATGGTGGTGCCCAGGAAACGGAAGGACTCCACAGAGGTGATGGGGGAGTCCATCACGGAGGGTGGGGGCGGGGGGACAGTGCTCTTCCTGAAGTCCACAATCATCTCCACTGTCTTCTGGGCGTTCAGCTCCAGGTTGTTACCACTGCACCAGGACACCAGCCGGTCCACCTCCCTCCTGTAGGCGGACTCATCGTTGTTGGAGATGAGTCCAATGAGGGTGGTGTCGTCCGCGAACTTGATCAGCTTCACGGAGTCGTGGCTGGAGGTGCAGTGGTTGGTGTACAGGGAGAAGAGCAGGGGAGAAAGAACACAGCCCTGTGGGGCTCCTGTATTTATAATCCAAGGGTCCGAGACATTCTTCCCCAGACGCACTCGCTGCTTCCTGTCCGTCAGGAAGTCAGTGATCCACCTGCAGGTGGAATCGGGCACGTTGAGCTGGGAGAGCTTGTCCTGGAGCAGGGATGGCAGGATTGTGTTGAAGGCAGAGCTGAAGTCCACGAACAGGACCCTGGCGTAGGTCCCCGGGGAGTCCAGGTGCTGTAGGATGTGGTGGAGGGCCAGGTTAATGGCGTCGTCTACAGATCTGTTGGCTCTGTAGGCGAACTGCAGGGGGTCCAGGAGGGGGGAGGTGAGGGACTTGAGATGGGAGAGAACCAGGCGTTCAAATGACTTCATGACGACAGACGTAAGTGCTACAGGTCTGTAGTCATTGAGTCCTGTGATCCTGGGCTTCTTCGGGACGGGGACAATGATGGAGGATTTGAAGCAGGCCGGGACATGGCAGGACTGCAGAGAGGAGTTGAAAATGTCCGTGAACACAGGAGTAAGCTCACTGGCGCAGTGTCTCAGAGTGGCCGGAGACACGTGGTCCGGGCCAGGAGCTTTGCGGGGGTGCAGCCTCAGGAAGAGTTGTTTAATCTCTTTAGCGGCTATTGTTAGGCTGGGGGCAGGGCTGATGGGTGGGTCGTTAGAGTAGTTAGAGTAGTGGGGGGTGGGGGAGGGAGAGGTGTCAGGGGCAGCATCAAAGCGACTGAAAAATAAGTTCAGATCGTCAGCTAGCTTGTGGTCATCAGCACAGGGGGGGGCTTTGGGTTTGTAGTTGGTGATCTCCCGTAGGCCCCTCCAGACAGAAGCAGTATCGTTGTTACCAAACTGCTCCTGTAGTCGTTCTCTGTGCCGGGACTTGGCTGCTTTCAGTTCTTTCCTGAACTGATATTTAGCTGCTTTGTAGCCGCTGCGGTCCCCCTCCCTGAAAGCAGACTCCTTTGCTTTCCTGAGCTGCCGGAGTTTAGCAGTGAACCAGGGTTTGTCGTTGTTATAGATGACCCTGGTCCTTGTTGGAATGATGCTATCCTCACAGAAGTGGATGTATGACGTCACAGTGTCCGTATATTCATCCAAGCTGTCTGTGGCAGCTCTGAAAAGGTCCCAGTCTGTAGATTCCATGCATGCGCGCAGCTCTTCCACAGCTTCATCAGACCACACTTTGGAGCTCCTCACTGCAGGTTTCGAGAGCTTTAGTCTCTGTCTGTAAGCAGGAACCAGATGTATCATGGAGTGATCTGAGAAGCCGAGGGCTGGCTTGGGAACAGCGCGAAAAGCTCCGCGCACGGTGGTGTAACAGTGATCCAGAGTGTTCTCCTCTCTGGTCGGGCATTTGATAAACTGTCTGTATTTGGGTAATTCCTGGCTCAAGTTTCCCTTATTAAAATCCCCCAGGATAATAATCAGAGAGTCCGGGTATAAGCGTTCCATACACAGTACTTGCTCTGCGAGTGCGCGCTGAGCCTCGCGCGCGTCCGCGCATGGCGGTATGTAAACAGAGGCAAGAATGAATGAAACAATTTCCCGCGGGGAGTAATATGGTTTACAATGAATGAAAAGATATTCCAGAGCAGGAGAGCAGTGCTTGGAGATCACTGTCACATCGTTACACCAGTTTGTATTGACGTAGAAACAGAGCCCTCCGCCTCTGCTCTTCCCTGAGAGCGCACAATGGCGATCCGCGCGGAACAGCCCAAAGCCCTGCAGCTCCAGAGCGCAGTCCGGGATCCGCTCATTTAGCCAGGTCTCAGTGAAGCAGAGGACACAGGATGTGGCGAAGTCCTTGTTTCTTCTCATGAGCAGGCTGAGTTCGTCCATCTTATTGCCCAGTGAGCGTACGTTGGAGAGAAAAATGCCGGGGAGAGCCGTGCGCGCTCCTCTCCTCCTAAGACGCACGAGCAGGCCTCCTCGCTTTCCCCTTTTACGGGCCCACACTTTTTTGGCTAGAACATGAACTAAATCAGCCGCAGATGCCAAGAACAATGCACAAATGAAACGCCAAAAAAAGCAGTGTCCATTAGTGGTCCTGTACCTGCACACTGTGAGCAGATTTCTCCTCTCCACCGCTGCGTTTCTTCCCGCGGACGCCTGGTTCCTGTGAGCGGGAGGCAGCGACGCCATCTCTCCGAGGATGATGCGCGCTTCTGGGGACGAGCGTCTCTGATGTGCGCAGCCTCAGCACCAAAGAGCCCCTCCCTCTATGCTGAAAACACAAATGGAACACAAACACAAAAAGAGAAAAGATTGTAAAGGAAAAGAAAATAAAGATTTTTTTTTTTTATTGTGACTGCCTATTTAATATTCTTTTCCATGACAAGAAAAAACAGCTTAACAAACAGATCCATTATATAGATCCTGTTGAGAGAAAGTTATCTAATGGTGACGCCTAGTGGCACATGAAAGCACATACAAGCATAGATTGAAACATTAATAGAAATTGAGAATAGCATTAAAAAAATGTCCTTTAAAATCCTTATCTATACGTGTATATCCTAAAGGGAAGGCAATGGATTTCGACCCATAGCTGATGCTACTGGGTTTCAATTAATCCCATAGATAGATAGATAACTTTATTTGCAGACTCAAGGTCCAGATCAACACAGACACAGACAAGAAACAATTAAAATTAAAATAAACAACAGACAATAAAATCCTTTAAACTAGAGGCAGTCAAACCAATGTTTCCAAAGCAGCAACGTGTAATGTACGGCGCTGCCCACAACACTGGACAATTAAATAATCACAGCATTTTCTGAATTGTTCAGGTGACATATACGTAAACTTAATTTATTTTTAAATAAAATTCTCAGCGCATCATTGTAAGCAACTGTAAGTTTCTGAAAGCTGGACTTTTTGTAATTGACCCACAAATGTGTTGTGTACATAGGTGAGCAGTAAGCTCGAAACAGAGCTAATTTCACCTGTGCAGAGCAGGAGGAAAATTTCCGAGACAGGGAGTTTGCTTGTGCATATAACATCCGGCACTGACGATACATGTCCTCGTCATCGGTCAGTTATGGTGTGACCGAGGTACTTGACCGCATCACACACAGTCAAGATGTTCCCTGAGAGCATAAAGTCAGGAAACTTCAGTGATCTGTCCTCCTTAGTCCGGCAGATCATGATTACACTTTTAGTGGAGTTGTATTTTACATCCTTAAGTTCCCCAAACTCAGAGCAAACATTCAACAACTGATGGAGACCGGTTGAACTTGGGCTAAACACCACCAGGTTGTCCTCATACATTAAGTGATTATTTAAAGCACCACCAACCATACAGCCAGTTTTGCACCCATTCAGCTGCCTGGACAGGTCATACAAATAGAAATTAAAGAGTATAGGGGACAACAGACTTCCCTGTCTCACACCATTACAAATCTGAAAGGGTTCTGACACACATTTGTCCCATTTGACCTGCATAGTCTGCTGATCATAAGAAAGACATCGAATGAGATATTTAGGCACATGGACCTTACTGAATAGTTTACTATTTGACTTTGACTTATGATTAATTTATTTTCTTGTTGATATTGACTGAACACAGTAGTGCACATCTGTGATTAAACATAAACCATTTGAATGATTGAGATTAATTAGGGCAGTCTGTCATCATCTCATCATATCAAACAAAATTGGGGAAAAAACAAACAACCGATAACAAGCTCAACACATGGATCTGGCTCAACACAACAAGTTATTTCCATGGCTATTTGACTGTTGGGCCCACATTCATAAATTAGCGCACAATAAAATACTGTTTAAATATAGTGTCTTTGAAGGTATAGTCACAGCTTCAAAGACACAATCATGTAATCGTTCACCATTCGCACACACGCATGCGCAGACATGGGGTAGATAAGGAAGACGAGTTAAGGACTCGCATTCACAAATGGGAGCTGGTTTCACAACTCATCTTACCGCTCAACCAATGATTTTTAGGTTGGTACCAGAATTTTAACCCCTAACCTTGAGCTCAGAAGACCGAAGGTTGTTCAGCCTCAACTAAGCTACTGCTGCCCATTGTTTGTCATCTGCATGGCATTAAACACGTGTGATAATCTACAAGGCAAACCTTTAACAGAAGGGCCCTTCCTTTTAGTGCAAGTTTCATTGATCTTGACACAGACCATCAATGCACTCTGTCCTTCCTTCCCCTCCCGTCTTGTTGTTACTGGATGCCATCCTCTCATTCAAACATGTGGTTAGACTAGTCACCAAAACATCCTTTTTCTACTTTAACAACATCACCAATCTCCACCCTTCCCTCCAACAAGCCACTGCAAAAGTCCTCATCCACTCCTTTATCACCTCTAGAGTCGACTTCTGCAATCACCTCCTCTATGGTCTCCCCACCACTCGTGTATCCAGAACTCAGCTCCAGAGACCACATCACCCCCATCCTCAAACAACTCCACTGGCTTGATGTCCTAAACCGCATACAATATACGGTCCTCCCCATCACCTACAAGTCCCTTCATAACCTGGTCCCCTTATATCTCACCGACCTCCTCCCAGACGCCGCCTCAGATCAGCCAACTTCAACCTCCTCTGTCCCATTAGATTCAAGTGCTGAACATTAGGGGATCGGACCATTGCTGCAGCTGGCCCCACTCTCTGGATCTCATCTGGAACACATCAGAAAGTCAAATTAATTTAAGAACTTCAAATCACTGCTTAAAGCCGTCCTGTTCAAAACTATGTACACTTAACCGTTTATTTATTAATATTTTTTAAACTTTTGTTTCTTTTGTAAAGTGTAAATGCACAAAATACATAAATACCATGCATTCTTATCTCCATTGTTATTAGAAGTATATGGCCTGACTTTCAGAAAGCTGACCAGTCTGTATTGTGCAGCTCCTTTTTTATTTCCACCCACATGAGAGTTACATAAATCTATGGTTTGACTTTACTTTGACAGTGACTTTAGTGTCGCTGCTGCCTCTTCACCCAGATACTAACAGATAATACAGCACGTGCATATTTTACAACTTCAGAAAGCCTCTTGCACATATGACACACTGAACAAAAATATACTTGTAACACTTTTGGTTTTTGCTCCCTGGACCTGAACTCAAATATTTTAAACAACAATTTCCAAATTAGTTGACGACTATTTCAATAATTAGCCTCAGGGAAAAGTAATGCTATTTATAAACTGTGTTATCATAATGCATCCATTGCAGCAGTACCATAGGCCTAGCTTTAGAAACTGCCATCTGCTGGCCCTGTTGATTATCACAATTGATCATCTCGACTATCAAAAGGTCAACCATTAAATACCGAGGAAAATGAAGATAAATATGGATCAAATTTAAGCAACTGCCATTAAATAAAAGAGGCAAGTGTTACACATAATCTGGACTGTCTGTTTCATCCAAGCCGAACCTAAGTTTAATACAAACAATAACGAGTGTATAAAGGTTTCTCGCGCTTAGTTTATGGATCACAATGATACAATAATCTCATGGCATGTTTTTATGGCTTTTAACTGATGTAACGGTGATAAAAGCCACGTGACGAGGAGGAGCAGCGGAGGTTGACAGACCTCAGACCTGAAAACCATCTTCTCCAAACGCGGTCCGAGAGCAAGGTCCTGGGAACAACATGGGGCAAGTGCTCACTTATTATTATTATTCTTTTTAAATAATGTAGCTAGTTTAATAACAAGCTAATACTAATGCTATCTAACCCCCGCTGGACGTTTCATGAGATATAATTCGTGGGTCTATTTGTGTCTATTTACATTCCGTCAACTGCACGGAATGTGTCACAAGTGTAACCGAGACCATAACGTTAAATATTTATACTGCTACAGCACTTATTTAGTATTGGAATATCTAGTTCTTATATTTACTACTTAAGAAAGTAGATCACTAACTAAATGTTACGATGTCCTTTCAAAATCCCAACAGGATTTTTAATTGTACCAGTAAAAAGTACTTTATAAACCTGGGTCATGTTCTAACGTTTTCTGTAAGTGGGTTATTTGGGCTAGTGTAATTAATGACGTTATAATGAATTAATTTCAAGACCATCCCCAGTTTGTTGCAAGTGCAGGTCTCCCCCATGGTCTCCCCCATGGTCTCCTCCCGAAGCGCAACCAAAACTCACAAAATTAAAGCTTGGTACCTAAAATTTTCCGTTGCATTAAAATTGCATGTTGGTTGTGCACAGAAGTAAAATGTTGTGAATACATCCAATAGAACACACCACAACAGACGCCTTGTTATTTATTTTGCATACTTAAGGGTCCTGGGAGTCATTATTTGACTTTTTTGGCTGAGAATGGTGTTTTATATATTTATCCACACAGAGTGCCACTTTATTGCCAAACTCTTGTGAACTCATTGGATTGAGAAATATTTGGGCAGGTAACTTTTGACATTGGGCAAGTAAAATGTAAATGGTACTTGCCCGATGGGAAAGTGGTTAACAAAGCTTAATGTCAAGGCCTGATAGAACATTTATATGCTGTTCATCTTTCACTGTTTGCATAAAGTAGTATTTCTCGTTTAACATCGGTCTGTGAGGTTATTACTAGGGGTGTACCAAGCTGCGTGATATTACTATAACAAGAAAGCTGTGATACAATTTTGAGGACTGAATAGAGAAAAGACGACATATAGTTGATTTGATACTAGATGTTATATAGAATGGTTCATGTCAGACTTTATATCAATAATAACAAACAATAACAAATAATAATATCAATCTCTAACATGGGGACAACCATCAAAGGTTGTCCACCAATTTGAATGTATAAGTTTAAAAATGAGTGTTTGTATCACTATAGCTTTGTAAAAGTTAGGGTTCAACAAAGTAGTTGTTATGTGTTTGGATGTTAAAGCTGGGGTATGTAACTTTCCCCCTCTTATAGTATGTTGTTTGCGCCAAAAGAGTCTTGAAAAAGTGAACAATCAAACCATGGTGTTTTCATTTACCTTTTGCATATTTTTGCAAAAGGTAGATTTTACGCTTTGTGCTAAAAGATGGCAGGCTGAGTGAGTGTGGTCTCCCTCTTTTTCACTTTTTTGTCTAAAAAAGCTGATCTAAAGTTGTGACAGAGGCCAAAAATACATGCATGAGAAGAGTAGTGATAGAACTGTATTGTTTTGAGTGTGAGGAACTAGCTATAAAGTAAGGTACCCCAGCTTTAAACCATAATGTTAAACAGCAAAACTGGATTTTGTGTATGCGAGCTGTGCATCATATTGAATCGAGAGTGCCTCTGATTTACTTATTTTTGAGTCGTAAGACACAATGTTAAACCATACTATTTTAAATTAAGTACAATTACTTTGTGTGTTTTGTAAAGGACCGACAAGACAGAAGAGAAAGAATTTCACAAGAAAGTTGATGCAAATGGAACATCAAGGTGAATGTTTTCCTTTTGCTATACTAGTGTAATATAACTTCAAATTTCTGATTTGTTCATTTAAAAAAAAATAATATGAGTTTGTTTTGTTAAATATTGTTGTATAACCAATTCCAGGTAAATCATACACATATGAAAGTAAAAATATACAGCACTCACAGTAATATGTATTTTATTTACTATGTTATAGCAACAGTACAAAGGATGATGAGAAGAGTAAAAAAAAGAAGAAGGAAAAGGAGCCAAAGCCAGAGATGGTTGGCCCCATTGCTCTGGTAAGTTTCTATTATAAATAACATTTCTAACTTTAGTTACATAGTTTGTGTGACCCCTCACCCCCTACCGCAAAGGGGCTAAGCACCCCTGAAAGTCTCTTATTATTTTTACTACATGATTATAGTGTCCCTTTGGATTCCTTGTTGCACACTGGGCTAATACTTCTCCTACCATTGTGTTACATTGGAGTCTAATGTAAAAAAAATATATTTTTATTTGAGAGCGTAAATAGTACTATGACTTGATTGGATCAAATGTATCTTCATAAACTTATTTAGATATTTACTGTCTATTATGAATGGTCAGTGCTTGATCTCTGAAGCATATTGGGAAGTGCATTCCAAAAAAGTGAACGCCTCTGTTCATGTCACATTGGGCCTTATATTCTGATGTTTTATTTATTTTGCATTGTAAATTATGATATGATGATATTATTATGACCTCTAATAATTCAGGTGATTTCCATCCCCAAATTCTGTTTCAGCTAGTGAATAGTGTGAGTGAGAATACACCAGCCTCGCTCCTGATTAGCTCTTTGGTAGTTCTGAATTTGCCATGAAAGAATTTGGAGATTCCCGTCCATGGAGCTTGTTCGGGTAGTTCTAGTCATGCTTCCTCTGGTAAAAGCCAAGCACTGTGGGTGATGTCAGCGCTTTAGTCAGCACTCTAGTCTATAGTCTATATTAATATCAGAAATTCATGTGAGATGGAGAAACTGGTACATGTAGTTCATAGTGTATTGAAAACCACAGAGTGTTTGCTCTCTGACAAGGTTTGTACAAAGCCTGAGAAACAACAAGTTGTAAGTCATTATGCACAATGGTGAAAGACACATTGTGGTATTTGGGCAGAAGATGTTTGAAACCATGAAGGCAAATAGCAGAATTATTGAAGCTTTTACAAAAGTAGTGTTATGAATTTGGGGAAAATGTGTTTGTTTGTAAATTGTGCTAACACTAAAGTCAAACTCTGCATCTCTCACAGGGTGAATCAAACTCTGACTTGATCTATTTTGATAAACTTAATATTTACTGTCTGTTATGACGCCTCTCTTCATGTCACAAATTTATATATAACTTTTTTTTTTTTTCAAAGTGAAATTTTTCTGGTCATCTAACCAGAATCCCTTGTTTTAAAAGTGAAACAATGGTTTTCTTTGTCCTGCGTTCCCTGGAGAGGATGGGAGTTCACCTCGTCTTCCTGTTGCTTTGCTTCACTGTGAATCCCCTGCTGTGAAAAACAATGGGAGCTCAGAAATTGAACTGTTTTTATTCTAATCTTGTTTATTTATGTTTAATTCTGCAGTTCAGGTTTGCAAAAAGCTCAGACATCCTCCTGATTGTGGTGGCTACTTTGGGGGCGATGGTCAGCGGAGTGCTCCTTCCACTTATGTGTGTCGTTTTTGGAGACATGACGGACAGCTTTGTAGATTTCTCCAAAGTCCCACCAAATATTAGTTACATCAGTGAGTATGCACTTTATACAAAACAAACACATTTGTCTGTAGTGCAATTTAGCAGAATTGAGAATGCAGGGGAAAAAAGAGGTGCAAGATATTTTATTTGATACTTTTATTATTCTTTTGTCAACCTCATTCAGATAATTCAATCTGAAAAGACTCGGGTAAAAGATTGCACTATAATTATGCTTATTTTCATGATTGCACGAGTGGACAATTAAATATTTGTCCATTCTTGCTATCTAATATATTTATTGCTCGATAGTCAATTGGTCTTTCAGTCTGAATTTACGATTAAGCTCCATGACAGCGATCCTAATTTAAAAAACCAAAAATCCTGCTACAGATCTGGTTCAGATTTTCTTTTTTAAATTAGTATATTAATGTTATGTGATGCTAAAACAATGCGTTATGATAAAATGCTCCAGAATATAAGTTTAGGCAAGGGCCGATATACTTATAAACTATAGATTTGTCATCGACATCTACTTTGGTCAGAAGCGACAGTATCCCATAAGAAATTTATTTATTTATATACATATACAATATTATGTGTGTGTTTGTGTAAGGTGTTTGTGTGAAGGCCTAATCACAAGGCCTCTGGTTTATTGATTTATTGCTGTCTTCCACAGATATCACGATTAACAACACGTTACAAGAAGATATGACTCGGTAAATATGTACTAACTTCATCACTGGGCATTTATAGACAAGTACATGAGGCTGAGTCAAACAACAAGAATAGAATACACAATGCATTTCAATTGGCTTTGGCAACAACTGTGCTTGTATCTTTCTCTATTCCACCACTACTACTTCATGCCAATCTCAAAGTAAGAAGATTACGCAGGGTTCATACAGTTGAATATTTAAAATTCTCTTGTTTGTATGAACGTCAGTCCCAAGCTCTAATATGGCTGATGTGAAATGATTATAAAACAGTTTGAACAGGTTTTATCCCGCCAAATGAGGGGATACATTCTGAAAAGCAGTAGAGTCATCTGTAGGCTTGTTTTGTTCTCTTTCAGCTATGCCATTTACTACTCCATCATGGGAGCAGTGATGATGGTGGCCGGTTACTTAAACATTGCTCTCTGGACCATATCGGCTGGTCGACAGGTGAAGCGCATCCGAAAGCTCTTCTTCCACTCCATCATGCAGCAGGAGATCGGCTGGTTTGACGTGAATGAGACGGGAGAGCTTAATACACGTTTAACTGAGTATGTTACAAAATAATCATTATGCTGCTACTCATACACGAACCAACATTCTTCACCCTGAGAAGGCCAGTCTAAAAATTGTTTTCCATGATGACGACGCCTGCTTGTCTCTATAGAGATAATTGAATTAAAATGTACTGTGAAACATTATCTTCACAGAATCAATCAGCTGTTTAACTCAAATTTTTATGGTCTTCTGTATCGACATGTAATATGATGAATTACACAATGTAGTCTTTGCAATATTTGTGGGGCTGTTTATGCGCCTGTCCTTGATAAACCTGGTCCCTTAACAATGTTGCCTACAACCCAGCTCATGGTTGTGATTCTATAAAATGCACTCAAAATAGTTTTTGTTTTGTATTTCAGTGATGTGTATAAAATCCAGGAGGGCATCGGAGACAAAGTAGGCCTTTTGCTTCAGGCATTCACCACTTTTGTATCGTCCTTCGTCATTGGCTTCATCAAAGGCTGGAAAATGACTCTGGTGATTCTGGCTGTCAGTCCTGTGCTGGGGATCGCTGCAGGGCTGTTCAGTAAAGTGAGTTTGTTCATGAAAATATTGTTCTCCTCCTACTGCATGTTGTAACAAGCCTGGCTCAAGGGCCGGCTACTACGCAAACAACTGGGGGGGGAATAAAACAACCAGGTCGGGCCGTTTAAGATGGTTTATTTTAACAAACATGGGAAAGGTGTTCTTTGGCTTTTATCTCCCACAGCGTGGCAGTAACTGTATTCAAGGGTTTTTGTCAGAGCTTCCTTAAGGCAAACCTTCAAAGTTATTATAGTTTGATATGGGCTTTTCTTATGTCAATGCTAGAACTTCTGACATGATGGATCAAAACCCGAACCAGATCCAGATCATTCCAAACTGGAAGTTCACATAACTCTATAAACTAATGATGTGTAGATGTTAGTACTGAAGACACTGAGGGTTTCCACAGTATAATTCCAGTTACGTCTGTTGCATCATTCAAATTTGACCAGGAAGGAAGACCAAGGAAATCCAAAAGTTCTATTAAAACATTTATTTTCTTGTTACAATAAATGCTGATAAGATCATCTCTCCCTGTTGTCCCTGTTGCTTCCTCAACCCGAGCTCTGAGGGTGCTCCTCAGTGCGCTCTCATGAATATATTTCTCTCCCCCACAAACATGCTGATTTATCTTCTCAAACCGAATGCACTTTTGGGGGCCCAGTCTGTACTCTTCTGTCTTTACTACAGGTTTTAGCTTCATTGTTAACATCGAATGATAATCTGATGAACAACAAACAATTTAATTAACAAATGCACATCACGTCCCATTGATGTTCCTGCTTTCGTAATCTAAGCATTGTAAAATGGTGCTCTCTGTTTTGTATCCAGGTGCTGGCAACGTTTACCACCAAAGAGCAGAGCGCTTACGCCAAAGCTGGAGCCGTGGCAGAAGAAGTGCTTTCGGCCATAAGAACCGTGTTTGCCTTCAATGGACAAGAGAAAGAGATAAATCGGTACATCTTCTGCTGATCTTGTAGACCCCATAATCAAATTGAGGGAAGAGGCAGAGGCTCTTTGTAATCCGATCTGTCCCTTTAGGATGTTAGAGCTGTGTTTGTAGAAATGTGTATGAAGACATAACAAATCAGCTGTGTTATGCAGCTCGCGAAAATTCAATTTGGTAGACGTCAGCCAAAAGCTACCCCCTCCAGGCCGGTTCGCTTCCCCAGCCTATCGCACAGCAAACGCCCCCTTCCAATCATCCGTGCCGGAAAGGCAGCCGCTTAAAAGCGGAGAAACTCCCACTCTCTGCCTTCTCGAAGCCTCGCATGCTCCTGAAGCCTTGCAAAGAATCGTTCTGGAGGAATCGCTTTCGTCTGCTCTCACTTACTCGTGCGTGTCCCTGCTGTCCTCTGTCTTGCTGCGTGTGGTCTGCTCCTCCTTCGCGTCGCTGCACCTGCTGCGGGTCTCGTGCTGTGGTCCGTGGGTCTTTGCCGCTCTCCTCCTTTGCGGGCTCTTTCTGCGGGTTCGCCGCTGCTCGTCTCGTCGCGGCCTGCTGCTGCATACGGCCGGTCTGGCCCGGTGCGGTGGGAGCCGTGCGCATCCCTGCCTCCTCGTGCCGGTACGGCGTGGTCCCGTCGTGTTGTCCCTTGTCTTCTGGCGTTGTGGGTAAGTATGAGATCTGCGGACGGTTTATTCCCCTCGCATAGTTCTGCAGGCTCAGTTGGCCCCGTGCATGGTGGGCAAGCTCCAGTTTAAAGCCCTCGCATTGTCTGCAGGCTCTCTTTAACCAAGCTCCGTTAAATCCTTCACTCTGACTGCAAACTCCGTTTAATCCCGCACATCGGACTGCAAGAACCCAGTTTTAATCCCTCACATTGGACTGCAAGACCTCAGTTTTAATCCCTCACATTGGACTGCAAGACCTCAGTTTTAATCCCTCACATTGGACTGCAAGACCTCAGTTTTAATCCCTCACATTGGACTGCAAGACCTCAGTTTTAATCCCTCACTTTGGCCTGCAGGCTCTGTTTAAATCCCTCTCTGGACTACGAGCTGTTTAAATCCCTCTCTTTGGACTGCAAGCGCTGTTTAAATCCCTCTCGGACTGCGGCTCCCAAAATGAATCCCTTACATTGGTCTGTGAGCTCTCAGGTTAATCCCCCACGGAACTGCTTATATCTGGAAATGCTTATATCTGGAAATGCTTATATCTGGAAATGTTATATCTGGAAATGCTTATATCTGGAAATGCTTATATCTGGAACTTTGTACCGTATCTGGAACTGCTTCATATGGAACTGCTTATATATGGAACCGCTATATTGGAACTGCTTATATGGTTCTGTTATACCTGGAACTGTTATGCAGTATATGGAACTGCATATATGGTACTGCCTATATCTGGAACGCTATATATTAAAAATAAATAAATGAATAAATAAATACATATAAATAAATAAATATAAATAAATATAAATAAATATAAATAAATAAATATAAATAAGTACATAAATAAATAAATTAAAAACTGCAGGCTCTGTTGGATCCCTCACACTGGACCGTAAACTCTCAGTTTAAACTCCTCACTTGGACTGCGGGCTCAGTTAATCCCTCACTTGGACCGTAAAACCTGTTTAAATCCCTCACACTGAACAGCTACAACAACATCCTACTGCCGTGGCTTTGATACAGGATCATTGCTGTTATTATCTACGGATGCTGCAGCTGCTGCTGCTGCTGCTACTGCTGCTGCTGCTCCGTACTGCTACTGCGCTACTGCTGCTGCTGCTGCTCCATGCCGCTACTGCTGCTACTACTGGGCGGCTACTACTGGGCGGCACGGTGGCTGAGTGGATAGCACTCTCGCCTCTCAGCAAGAAGGTCCTGGGTTCGAATCCCGGTCGGACCAGGGCCTTTCTGAGTGGAGTTTGCATGTTCTCCCCGTGTCTGCGTAGGTTTCCTCCGGGTACTCCGGTTTCCCCTACCACTAAAAATATGTCCAATAGTTCTGGCATGTGCCTCCTGTACTGGCCACTCCGCTCCCATCTCTGTGTGGAGTGAGAGACAAATGCCCAAAAATTAACAATTGTAAACCGCTTTGAGACTCAGATCTGCAGTGAAAAGGCGGTATATAAATAAAAAACTTACTTACTTACTTACTTACTACTGCTGCTGCTTCATTTACTTGCCATATCTCTTCACTGCATCTCTTTTACTGAAACACTGATCAGCTATGACAACATTCTACTGCTGTGGCTTGATACAGGATTATTACTGTTAATCTCTAAGGATGCTGCTACTGCTGCTGCTGCTGCTGCTGCTGCGGCTTGGTACAGGTTATTGCTGTATTATCTGAGGTACTGCTGCTGCCGCTGCTGCTACTGCTACTGCTGCAACCCACTCTCTCAGAAGCTTATCCTGTTTCTAATGGACGCTGCCCGGCCGAGTATGCCGCGCTGCGCTGGCCTCGTACCTATGCTCCCAGGGTCGCTTCGGCGGTCATGCTTCATCTCTCTACCTAATCTTCTGATTCTATCAGATGCAGCCGGCCGAGTAGCTGCGCTGAGCCGTCAATCGGACTCCTAATCAAAGGCATCCATACCTGTATTCTTCACTCTTCTGATCGCAGGCTCCCCCATCGTGCTGCCCATCGTGCTGCCCATCCTGCAGCGGCTCTGAGCGGCACTGAACTCTGGCTCGTCTTCCAAGTACATGTCTGCCCTCCTCGCAGCATCTTCCTGCTCGCCTTCTATGACTTCTCTGCGTAAGCGTTCACTACTGCTCGCTCAACCTTCATGCGGTCCGAGACGCGGCTTCCCGACCATCCTACTATCCTGATTATCTACTCTCCAACCCAAGATTCTAAGCGTAAGGGCGCCTGCAACATCAATGGCCCTCTCCGATATGTCTCTGCCCCTACAGGTCTCCGCTTCTACACGGACGCGCCCCTTCCGTGGGTTTTGGGGGATTCTTCCAGGACCATTGGGTTGCCGGGCCGTGGCCGCTACTTCCACCGGAGCATCTCCTCTGCCCTACACGAGATATTCCCAGTGGTCGTGGCCTGCGCGCCGTGGAATCACACGTGGCAGAGAAAGAGGATCTCTGTCATGCGCGATAATCTCGACGTAGTGGAAGCATCACACAAAGGTCGCTCTTTTTCACCCAACATAATGTCCCCTGACCCTTTCAACCTTCATCTCAAACATTCAAAGACCAAGGTGCCTGCAACATAATAATAGCTCGCTCCGACACATCTCTCTCCAGACAACCTTCCCATGACAGCAACCTGGTTCAGAGCTCAACTAAGATCCCTACTGCTCCTCTGCAGTTTGTCTCCCCAGCTCTATACAGCCCACTCCTTCAGGATAGGCGCTGCCACGCGCGCGGCCTCGCTGGGGCTCCCCCACCTCTCCAACAGCTGGGGTGCTGGTCCTCTTCGGCTTCTCCGCCTACATCAGGCCAGACGCGTCCGCCATCCTGGCTGCCCAACGTCTACTGGCTTCCTCGCAAGCTCCCAGCAAAGCAATACGAAGCAAAGTAAGCGAAGCAATAAGTTCTGGTGGCGGCACGCACTTTTCTCAAACGCTCTCCGCTGCCGCAGCGTCTGACGGAACGCGATGCGAGCGCTCACGTTCCCAGCGCCCAAAGATAACCGCATATAACGGTCACAGCATATAGCGATAGCGGTCATAGCGTCAGCGATAGCGGTCATAGCGTCAGCGATAGCGGTCATAGCGTCAGCGATAGCGGTCATAGCGTCAGCGATAGCGGTCATAGCGTCAGTGATAGCGGTCATAGCGTCAGTGATAGCGGTCATAGCGTTAGCGTTAGCGGTCACAGCATAGCAAAAAATGGTTAGCGCATAAACGGTCACAGCATAGTGATAGCGGTCACAACATAGCGATAGCGGTCACAGCATAGCGATAGCGGTCACAGCATAGCGATAGCGGTCACAGCATAGCGATAGCGGTCACAGCATAGCGATAGCGGTCACAGCATAGCGATAGCGGTCACAGCATAGCGATAGCGGTCACAGCATAGCGATAGCGGTCACAGCATAGAGCAGCCACGACGTCTGTCCCCTGCAAACCAGGCTGCAAAACTCCATCAACACACAGCCTTTTTGGGGATTGTACGCGCTCCATCGCAGGAGCCTCTCCGATCTGAAGGCCGCACCGGGGCCTAGGGCGCCAAACCTCCTCTCAATAAAATACTCAAAACTATTTTCATTTCTCGTCTCTCCAAATTGAAATGCAGCTCGCGAAAATTCAATTTGGTAGACGTCAGCCAAAAGCTACCCCCTCCAGGCCGGTTCGCTTCCCCAGCCTATCGCACAGCAAACGCCCCCTTCCAATCATCCGTGCCGGACAGGCAGCCGCTTAAAAGCGGAGAAACTCCCACTCTCTGCCTTCTCGAAGCCTCGCAACCACCGCCTCCCCTCCTCCTCCTCTTCACCCTGCCTCCAATCTGCCTCCAATCTGCCTCCAATCTGCCTCCAATCTGCCGCCACCAGTGCCTAGGTCCCGGGGGATTGTACGCGCTCCATCGCAGGAGCCTCTCCGATCTGAAGGCCGCACCGGGGCCTAGGGCGCCAAACCACCTCTCAATAAAATACTCAAAACTATTTTCATTTCTCGTCTCTCCAAATTGAATTAGCTATAGCCATATATCTAACACGCTAATTCAAATATATAAACATTTTTTAATTAAATAATTTTTTGTTTAATTTTTTAACATAACCCCTACATACACACCAACAATATATAAAATGTGTTCGATTTGGACTATATATATATTGTTATTTGTAATATTAATTTTATTTGGTTAGTTTTGTCAGTATTAATTCAGTGCCATTATTTTCAGTGATTATAGTTTGATTTACTTTATATCTTGTAAATGTTGCCATAATAATACATTGTTTGTCACAGATACAAGGTGAATCTGGAGGATGCCAAAAACGTGGGGATCAAAAAGGCCATTTCTGCAAACATCGCCATGGGCTTCACTTTCCTGATGATCTATCTGTCATACGCGCTGGCCTTCTGGTATGGCAGCACACTGGTGCTCAGCGGGGAGTACACCATCGGAAGTGTCCTCACGGTCAGTACTGAGCCCACCCGCTTCACATATGATTGAAGAATGTATGACGCACACAGTTATCGTTGTTTGGACATGTAATACTTGTACGAAACGATAAATATGGTAATTGCCAATCTTGCGTTTCAGGTGTTCTTTGTGGTTCTGATTGGAGCCTTCTCCATTGGACAGACGTCTCCGAACATCACAGCCTTTGCTTCTGCTCGAGGAGCGGCACATAAAGTCTACAGTATCATAGACAGAGTAAGAACTAAAAGTGGCCCACTTTAGTTAAGCAGATTTGTTCCAGGAATGAATACCCAGATTGTACAACTTTGTTGACTTTGAAACAGAGATGAGGCCATTGCCCATTGTACTTGATATGTGTTTGTAATATCAACAGGATAATGTTCTACTTTATTATTGTTTCAGGCCCCTTCCATCAACAGTTTTTCAGAAGAAGGTTACAAACCAGACTGCATCAAAGGCAATATAGAGTTTAAGGATATACACTTCAGCTACCCTTCGAGGCCCGACGTGAAAGTATGTACAACTATTGTTGTTCATGCTGTTTGTCTCATGACTAAAAAGTGGTTTTCTGCAGGTTCTGAATCACATGTCCCTGAGTGTGAAAAAAGGACAGACTATTGCTTTAGTGGGTAGCAGCGGCTGTGGAAAAAGCACAACGATCCAACTGCTGCAGAGGTTTTATGATCCAGTGGAGGGTTGTGTAAGTATAATTTTATACCTGTCATATAATAAAAAGAGCATTTCTAATTGTCAAAAAATACCAAACAACATATAATAATTAAAGCCGCAAGCGGCAATGAAAACCCTCGCCACTCTCAAAGCCGTCTCCCGGGCGTCAGTCCCTTAAGCGGCATGCAGTGTCCTTGCCAATAAATTCGCAGCCTGATAGGACCAGGATTGCGCATGGAAAAGCTCATAATAGGATTCAGTGCGCCCCTAGTGGCTACCTATGGGACATGCACCCTCTACGTAATGTAGTATTTTGCTCTTACGGATGTAAAGATTTGACTGTGTGACTCCGGTGAGGATCGAATAAGTTTAGGTCGGTCGCCTCCCATAGGTGGAGCTCAGAATCATATTATGTGTGTATTTTTACACCATTACGCTGTGGCCAAGAGAGCATCAAACCTGGAGTGGTTCCCCACCGCCTGGCATGAAAGCGGTCAACAATTTCTAACTTTGTCTTGATAATTGTATATCTCCAATCCGTCCATATGGGGAAATGACATGGTAGAAGTCTCTGTGAGGAAAAACCTGGGCCTGGGATGTAACAATTAATACATTTTTGTAATCTCAGGGAATAAACTATTTATCATGTGTGTATAGCACTCTGAACCCAAATCATCTTTTCTTGATCATATTCGGCTTCAATCAATCAAGAAGATCTTCAGTCTGTTGTGTGCTTCTTCCATAGATCTCTGTTGATGATCATGACATTCGCTCCCTGAACATTCGTTATCTGAGAGAGATGATCGGCGTTGTGAGTCAAGAACCCATTCTCTTCGCTACAACTATCACTGAAAACATCCGATACGGGCGCATCGAGGTCACCCAGCAGGAGATCGAACAGGCCGCCAAAGAGGCCAACGCCTATGACTTCATCATGAACCTGCCTGATGTGAGTCACAGCACTTCCGTGCAATTTTTTAGGGCTTTGCCACTGACATCTCTCATTTTTCAGAAGGCACAAGTTGCTACCACTTTTAACTGAATTTGAATGTTGTCCATAAAGGCCAGGGGCTGTATTCCTAAAGATTCTAAGAGTCCTCTCAGAGAGCTCCTATCTTACCCTAAAAACTCCTAGCTAGGAGTCTTAGCTTAAAAGTTATTCCAGAACACTCTTAGAGAACTCTGAGCAAGGAATTGACAACAACTTTTATCTTAGTGAGGAGGCGTGGCCGACCCCGTTGCTAGGTATGAGTCATCATTTCAGACGCTGTGATTGGTTGATCTTAAAAGTTAGTAAAAACATATTTTTGATGATAATGGGCAAAATAAGGGCCCTAAAATGGACAAACTCAATCATGGAATCTAATCTTAGGAATACTGTGTTATTGTAAATAATAACCAAACGCTATAAAGTCAGATATATCAATGGTGCATAAATACTGTGAATAGTAAGATAGACTTTTACACCACATCATCAGAGCTTGCTCAGCACCAATTTCTAACAAATACATAGTACGTATATATCATGAGCACTTATAATTTTATATTATATATATATATATATATATATATATATATATATATATTTATGTATATATACATACAATTTAAATATTACTCTATATATAATATACATGAAAAAGAAAATTATTATTATAAATATTATATGGATAAATGATGATAGTGATAACGTTAGGATTAGTAAAGGCTGTGATACTGACAGACGTATAAGGCATTAAGGAAACAATATTAATACAAACATATTATACATACAATGTACAAATCAAGTACAAGGGAGTTTAAAAGTCTTAACCTCTCTCACTCCTTTTTGAGCTGGATTGTTGTTAATAAAACAAAACTGTGTATTTGTACTTCTATTCTGTTGTTGTTTTGTTTGTTTTTGTCCTTTTTTCTTGTTTGCCATGGCTCAAAATAAAGTATTCATTCATTCGTACTGAATGTGTGAAAATGTAGGCCCACTTGTACAGTATTAACGCAATAATAGTTACATTTACTTGCTTTTATTATTACCATGCTGGTTATTTTCTCTCTTTCAACTTTCACCATTTCTACCTACTTTTGTGTAACAAGGGTAAAATGGATGAGTTGTTATTGCTGACCAGCCTATAAGAAGCTGGTCACATGATTGACTTTTAAATATTACAGAAGCATAATTCCTGCTCGACTCAATCTGTAGCGTTTCACTGATTCACTGTCATCCAGTGTATAGAATATTTCTCCTGTCTCCACCGTCCACCATTTTGAGCTCTTAGGGAACTTTTAAGTCGCTAAAAGTCCACCTCTCAACTCTTAAGGGATCTCCCCTTAGGAGCACTCTTAAGAGCTAGGATTCTTTAGGAATAGCTTTTATCTTAACTAGGAGCTACTCGTCACTTTTAGGGGAAATTCTAAGAGTTGGTCAAGATTCTAAGAAAATTCTTAGAATTTGGCCACTAGGAGCAACTTTTAGCACTGAGAATCTTTAGGAATACGGCCCCAGATTTGTGTAGGGTATGATTGAATCCCGTGTATAGATTACCCCAGCTCAGTGGCAGACGGCAGTGAATAAAATCCTTTTGTGTATGGTTATAAACCTGACAAATTGTGCAAACGTTCAAGGTGTAATAATATTTTTGAGAGGCACTGTATACATATTAAAAGGCTTAAAGTGAATTTGCATAGTACACATAGGTGAGAAATAATATTTTTTGTGAATCATGTACATCTGCAATAAAAGGCTTAAGGGGAAGGGGCTCAGGTTTTCTTCAGTAGTTTAAAGTAAAACAGGACTGGCTGGGATTATTTATATGACATAGAAGTGAGTATATTTAACCATTAGGCATGGTGGTAGAATTCTATAAAAAGCCTACTGTTAAAAAAGTTAAGAATAGAAAAACTTGTGATTTAGGTATCAGGTTCATTCTTCAACTTGGAGAAAACTCACCCTGATAATGGAAGTGGCCTGACGTCAGCAACGATAACTCACCTTTAAAAGATGAAAAAGGATCAGAGAATGAAGACGAAATACAGACGGAAAGGATTAGTGTATGGTCATAGCTTACAATAGGCCTAAAATAAATCATAAATCAATTCTCAATTAATTATTAAACCTACCTTTTTTCATACTTTCGTACTTTTCATTGAAAGAAATTTGAGACTCTGGTGGGGGACAGAGGAACGCAGATGAGCGGCGGACAGAAGCAGAGGATTGCCATCGCCAGAGCTCTCGTTCGAAACCCCAAGATCCTGCTGCTGGACGAAGCCACATCTGCCCTGGATGCTGAGAGCGAGACTATTGTTCAAGCTGCTTTAGACAAGGTAGGTACTAATTAAGTTATTTATAGATGTTGGGTTTAATGGTCAGAGAGGTGAACTCTGGATTTGAGTTTCTGTCTGCAGTAGATTGAATGGATATGGGGATGTTTATTTGGAGATGTTTTTTTTTATTTCTTTATTTCATTTATTCATTATTTTCCTAAAGTTACATGGGAGGATTTTCTTCTTCCTGGTGGATCATCAAGACTTTTGGTCCTAGGAGGGGGTTTCAAAAGTTCTGGAAAATTCTTGTCCTGCAGTAATTTCAGTGATTTAATAAAATGGTCAACATCGTCTCTGTCGTGTCTCCGTCTAAACGGGGCCTGATTCATACCCAATGATTTTCATAGGACGATACAGTGGTAATAGTGAAGCTTTTTTTGTCAAGTTCATTCTAAAGCTGGAAAACCTAAAACTCCATGTTACTAGTTTTTTCACTAGTTTTTTCATTCTTGTGTTTCTGGTGTCTGCCACTTTTTTCTAATAAATCAGCTTTAAAAGAGTGCCAGCCCTCACTCAGCCAATCAGCTCTCAGTATAGTTCAAATGAAGATGATTATGACAGACTGTTTGGTCTGATTTGTTTACAAATTGTAACAAAACTCTTTATATTTTGACAAACAAAATGCATTTATGAAACAAACAGAAAAGTACTGTAATATTACAGTATTATTATTAGTAGTATATATTATTATAGTAAGGTATGTATTTGTTTGTTTGCAGGTCAGACAGGGTCGCACAACCATTGTCGTGGCCCACCGCCTCTCCACAATCCGAAACGCAGACCTCATCGCCGGCTTTCAAAACGGTGAAATTGTGGAACTTGGGACTCATAGCAAACTGATGGAAATCAAAGGAGTTTATCACACGCTTGTCACAATGCAGGTAATGGTCACGGCTCAATAATGGCTGAAGTATGAGAAAAAGTCCAAACTATTGATAATACAGTATATGCTATACTACTGAGATATGCTATGTTTAGTATTTGTGTTATACCTATAACTTGTTAGAAAATAGCGCTGGCAAAAGATTTTTTATCAATATTGAAACAGATATAACCCTACAAACTATATTCATCTAATGTCAACAACAAATATGTATCTGGTTACACTGGTTTAATGTGGCTTAAAAGCAAGCCCCAATGAACCAAAATGGCGCCCTATTCAAATGAATGGCTTGTGCTCAGTAGCGCATGGGCCGTACACAGGGACCAAGAGATTAGCAGAACTTGCCCATAATTGGGCATCGTCTGCTCCTCCTGGTTCTGCGCAGTGGACAAGCTTCCATGATGCATTGCGTGAAATACGCGTGTGTGGCTCTCATGCACGTGCACAGAGGGGCTCGGCCACGCTTTGACCAATCAGAGCTGCTGATCAGAGCAGCGGTAGAGCGGAGCCAGAGTGGGAAGAAAACAAGCAGAGTTTGTTGAATTAAAGTGTGGATTTAAAAAAAACTGATGAATTGGACTGAAGGGACCTTGAGGAGTTACCTTGAGTTCTATGAGGAAAATGTCTGGGTAGCCCAGCCGGGTGAATTTAGTCTGCAGTACCGCGGGCGCCCCCTGTGCCCGTGGGTGGGACAGCTGTAAGCTATTAATACCCTATCCAGATATTATAGATCCATGGGCTTAAGTGATTGTCAGAATATATATGTATATTTTTTCAGAGCTTTCGAAATGTTGAGGAATGTGATGAGCAGTTGTCAGAAGAGGAAGAGGAAAGACCTTCAACACCAACTGTGCGTCGCAGAAAATCCACCAGAGGTTCTTCTTTCGCAGGAGACAAGGTTGAAAAAGAGACACAAGACAAGGACAAGACAGAGGAGGTATGATTTTGATGCTTGTGCTGAATTTCACTGGAATCGGATGGCAGCAGCTAATATAATTTATTTTTATTTGGTTTGTCTTCTATGTGCATGTTATGTTCTCATTAATTCACTCAAAATTGCTTTTGAAGAGATGATTATATGTTTGAGTAGAATATTTTCCTGCGTCCAACGTCTTCTCCATTTCTCGCACAGCTGCTGGTAAACGCCTGCTGTCCTTCACATAGTTCACCTATTTTTTCTAATACAGGGATGAAGAACCAAAAAAAATCCCAGCTTGCAAGTCTATGCACCAGTCTGTGATCTAGGGCACTTTCAATGTTTATGGTTACATGGTATGAAAGGCCAAGGCAAATGAATACATATATTTGAAATATTAAATCGGACAATGAAATATTATTAAAATATTTAGTTTAAAGCAAGGAAGGTGAGTTCTGCAGAGGGTACGAGTGGTAGAAGGCTTAACACACAGGTGCTCTTCAAGTTATTATTAAAACATGTTTATTGATGAAGCAGAGGCAGCTCCTCCTGGTGACATTCCGGTTTTCTGCCCAAATGCATGAATACTGTGCTGTATGAATAATGATAACCACAACCAACCGTGTCTCGCATCTTATATGTTTCCAACATGTAAGAAAATATATCTAAAAAACAAAATGATATAAGCTATGACTATAAAATTATATTCAAATATCCTGAACCTCTGTATCACCATATCTTCATCCCTTACTTTTTTGCAGGAGGAAGATGATGCTCCTCCAGTTTCATTTTTCCAAGTGATGCGTCTTAACGCCAGTGAACTCCCTTACATTGTGGTGGGTGTGATTTGTGCCATAATAAACGGAGCCATGCAGCCGCTGTTTGCAATCCTCTTCTCCAAAATCATCACTGTGAGTCGGAGCAAAAGCATTTTTGAAATCAGATCAAATATTGATGGTTGCTGGTTTTCTTTTAGGTTTTTGCAGAAACAGATAAAGAAATTGTCAGAGAAAGATCTACATTCTTCAGCCTCATGTTTGCTGTTATTGGAGGAGTGTCTTTTGTCACTATGTTTCTACAGGTATTTTTTTTGTTTTTAATGGATAATGCACAGACAGACTCAATGTAATATAATCTCAAATTAATCTCCCTCTTGAGTAATTTTTGAGACTGGTTATTTTCTAATATTTTCTTTGTGGTCCTGTAAAATTATTATTATTTTGGTTGTATGCACATTCTTAAAAATGCAGGATAAAATTATATTTTTTTTTAATTGAAATGTTTTGTTACAAAAAGTATTTGGTAACAGTTTAAGATTTTTGAATAATTCATAATTATAGTAGTCAATTTCAGTGCCATTTCATTTTTGTCAATTTATGTTTCTTCTCATCCTTTGTTTACTTGTTTACTTGTTTAAATAATTTATGGATAACTACTTGGTTACATTTTGCAACAGGGTTTCTGTTTTGGTAAATCAGGAGAACTTCTGACACTGAAACTCCGGCTCAAGGCTTTTACAGCCATTATGAGACAGGTACATGGTGTATTTGGGCTTCATGAGTACAACCATGTGTGTGTTTATGCATTGTTCTTCTTCTCTCAGGATCTAGGATGGTTTGATGACCACAAAAACAGTGTTGGCGCTCTGACCACCAGGCTTGCCACGGATGCTGCCCAGGTCCAGGGGGTAGGTCAAGCGTGACTTGCAAAACCAACTCTTTACAGCTTTTGACAATATAATAGATAAAAAATATAATAGATGTTTTCCCTTGTTATCTACACTTCTACTAATTATCATACTAATCTATTTAAGAACGATAGATACATGTTTTAGTCAGCTGTGTATGTAATAAAATCCTTGTACAGTTTGGTTCTATGTCTTGTTTTCATGTGCATGTATTTCAAACTTATTTATATTCTAGTGGATGCATCTCAAAATCCAAAATGGCCCTTGTTTGTTTTTGATTCTTCAGGCAACTGGACCTCGTCTGGCCACATTTGCTCAGAACATTGCAAACCTGGGCACCAGCGTGGTTATCTCATTTGTCTACTGTTGGGAGTTGACTTTGCTGATTCTCGCTGTGGTCCCCGTCATGGCGCTGGCCGGAGCCGCAGAGATGAAGCTGCTCAGTGGACAAGCCTCTCAGGACAAGAAGGAGCTGGAGAAGGCTGGAAAGGTGCGTACGTATATGATTTAACTGCAAAAAAATATGCACAAGTTCAGCTTTTTCTTCATCTGCCGACACCTGATCGAACAGACTGTATGATGGAGTGCACAAACCACATTAAAGCCAAAATCCTCTCTTAGCAAAACCATAACAACCAATGAGCCAATCAGCAGCCAGACTGGTATTTTCCACTATTACTATTAGCTAGCGAAAACCATATTTTGGTATAGAAAGCACCTGATCAGTCAGTTATTATTCTCAACATTTCTCAATTCCAGTGTTCAGAAATACCTCAATCTTTAACCTTCAGATTTCTTTGCGCTCTTTGGGTGGGCTAGAAGTTGATCAGCCTGTCATATTATAACCAGGCTCTGTTTAGCTTCTGGACTCATGGCTCTGTGTCTGTGTGACGTATTGGAAAAAGCACTTTACTTTAAATAAACACCAGTGCATGTCATTAAACGCATTCCTCTTTTTTTTTTTACAGATTGCCACAGAAGCCATTGAAAATATTCGAACTGTTGTGTCTCTCACTCGGGAATCCAAATTTGAGAATATGTATGAGAAAAACCTGGAAGTGCCGTATATGTAAGTAGTGTTTGTGTTATATTTTTAACTTGTTAAATATTTGCGCCAGCAACAGATTTTTATCAATATTGAACAAATATAACCCTACAAACTATTCATCTAATGTCAACAACAAATATGTATATGGTTACACTGGTTTAATGTGGCTTAAAAGCAAGCCCCGGTGATCCAAGATGGCGCCCTATTCAAATGAATAGCTACACAGTGTTTCAATTTTAAGGATTATTGGTTGGTATTTGTCTCAAAGAAGACACAACATCTTCTAAAGCAATAATCTATGACACACCACTCATTATTACTATATATTATGTAGATTGGAAATGTCAATATCGATCTAGTCCACACATTTATGTATTCTGTTCTGCCGTATCGCTCTGTGCTCTAAATATATACTATAGCATTAAATGTTTTAATTTTCTCTAGTTTTTGCCTTGTTTATAAAAAGAATTTAAAAAATGGCTCCAAAAATAGTTATGTTGTCTAGTCAAAAAGATATCGTTTAAATCTGGTCGACTACTGCTAGTGACTCCCTGAGTCTCAGTCGGACAGCCCTTAACAAATTGTGTTTTATCATGAATATGTTGTTTCTTGTGATTGTATTTCATTGTTTTTCCTGTTGTTCAGAAACTCTCAGAAAAAAGCACACGTGTACGGCCTCACGTACTCCCTCTCTCAGGCCATGATCTACTTCAGCTACGCGGGCTGCTTCCGCTTCGGGGCCTTCCTGGTGGAGGAGGGACGCGTGGACGTGGAAGGACTGTTCCTGTGAGTTTGGGCTCATCTTCATTTAGAGACGTGACAAACAAACTGAAGAAGACACTTGTGTTTGTAGGAATGCGAAGATCAATTTCAAATATACTTTGAATGATATATAATTTTCTTGGCAAACAACCAAACCTCCGGTCTAGATCTTTGCTGAAATGCATGTGATTCATGTATTGTTTCGCTCCTCTGTCTACTCTCAATAGTTAAAAATCATGTAAAGGGGACATTTGTAGGGCTTTAGTTGTTTAGTCGATGGTTTCTTAGTTGACTAAAGATGTTATTAGTTGACTACACATTATATCTAAATTATAAGGATTTCTATGTGAAAACAGAAAAAATCAACAAAATATTCATAATACTTAATTAATAGTAACTTATTTTGCTGATTTTATGTAAAAAGTTGTATAAGTTAATTTAGGTCAGATACATTTTGGAGAGATTGTTCGTGCCCCTTCTGATTGTTTCAGTTGACTAATTGTTGGAAATTTGAACCTACCTTTGAAAATAAATCATATATTTGCAATGCGTTGTGAAAAAAGCAAATACAGTAACATTCTGCAACAAAAATACGACTTCTAAACACTGCCCTCATCTACCTGCTGCCAGCAGAGACTGTATGTAGACCGACAACGCTAACCCCATAGGAAAGTGCTCATGGACAAAGTTTTGTTTACATTGAAAGCTCTAGATCATTAACTGTTTGTATCACACTCACCATTTTGGGTTTAGCGCTCTATTTGATCTTGGTGTTTTTATTTTTGGTTTGTCTTTGTTAATCTTGATATGGATTAACCAATCAGATGCCCTCATTAGCAGGGGAAAGTGCAGCTTGCCTCAGCAATCATCTTAGGATCATGTCTGCCCCTGTTACAGCCTAAGCTAACAACATCAGAACAAATGCCCATATAAGGAAATTGGCTCCAGTTAGCTTTTGTTCAAATTAGCTTCTTAAACATTCAGCAAACACTAAAAAGTTGGCTGTATGTTGTAAGTTGTGCCATCTGTGCTGAAATAAGCCTTGGTACTGTAGGTTATTCTAAAAGCTTATTTGGGAGTTACCTATTTTTACTTTTAATTATAGCTATAGTTAGTTAAAATAACAATCCTTTTAAAGTACAAAAACAATCCTTCATGCTAAACAAAGTACAGTCTCAAGTGGAAATCAATTGTAAAAAGGTTCAAAGCTCACGAGCAGAGGAAATGTCAAAAAATACCTTTAGATTAATGTTCAACCAGAAGCTCATTTCACCAGAGAAGCAGATGGGATCAAGGCAGAAAGAGGCAAAATCCTGCTTAGATCAGTAGATTGGACTATGTTGCACAAGTTAGATTTAAAATGGAGACTAGAGCAGCTGAAGCAGGAGGGAGAGACTGGTCCTGTGACAGTGCTGTAATAATTGTGTCCTTTACCATGCTGTTGTGTTGTCTTATTAAAATAAATAAAAGATGGTGATGATTCGATACCAGTAATGGGCGCAGTATGTGATACAATGTGACTTTCATGTGTGTTCTTTCCAGTGTGATTTCTGCTCTCTTGTACGGGGCCATGGCTGTGGGAGAGGCCAATGCTTTTGCTCCAAACTACGCCCGCGCCAAAGTGTCTGCTGCCCACCTCATGATGCTGATCAGGAGAGAACCTGCCATCGACAACCTCTCAAAGGAGGGAGACACGCCGGTATGAAACCATTTCATTGATATACAAAGTCGACATCTTTATGTTCGAACCGGCATGTCCAAACTGAGGCCCTCTCTGTCATTGTATGTGGCCCTCTGCCTTGCTAACCTAAAGTAGTCTTTTAGTTTATCAACACAAGTTCACAGTGTCATCCAGCCAACTTCAGGTCAGCCAATACAGGCATGTTGTGGAGCACAGAATCTCTGGAATCCAGTTGTAGACTTTGTTTGACTGGGAGAAATCTGTAACAGAATTTTTTATGCCTATGTTGTGACTCACTGGTCTCGTCACTCTTTAAAGTTATTCTATACTATTCTATATATTATATTCTGTATAGGCACCATATCAGTGTCTTACAGCGTTGTAAAGATAGTAATTTATAGAAATTAGAAAAGATGGCGCCGTAGACGGTGTATGGACTCTTTGGTGCGCTCTTTTTTTCTTGTTTTTCTGCTTCAATATTGTCTCTGCCTGCTCTTACGCCGTGAGGAGATTCTGAACATCAGACCCACCATCCCCATGGACCTACTGCAGGCTTTCTAGGCATCTGCAGCTGATTTGGTTCATGTTTTAGCCCAAAACTCGTAACTCGTAAGAAAGGAAAGCTTGTGCGACTAAGGAGACGAAGCGCACTGTGCAATAAGATGGACAAACTCTCCATGCTGATGACAAGGAACAGAGACTTCTCCTCATCCTGTGTCCTCTGCTTCACCGAGAGATCCTTTATTCGTCCCACAGTGGGGAAACTTCAGTATTGCATCACAAGTTATAGAACAATAGGAAAGAGGAGCACACAGCACAAGTTAAGTGAACAATAGCTATACTAATTAAAATAAAACAAAAAACTCTAACTCTAGCATCAAATAATAAGTATAAAATCTCTATCTTGGAAATGATAATAAAAGAAGTGTAAGTTTTACATTTGACAAAATAAGAAGCAAGTATAAAGTACTGTGTATTCTAGTGAAAGCGAAGTGTAGTTATATGTTAGCATCTGTACATGTTAGCAGCAGTATATTTACATCTGTACATTAGCAGCATGAGGCTCTGGGACACAGTGACTCAGTAAAGTGACAGTGACATGTGGTTATTGCACATTCTGATAGTTAAGGATAATGCAACGATGCATGACACATTGGATCAAGTTGGCAGTGTTCATTAGCTCTCCGGAGGCAAAACCAGAGGCGGCGCACTGTGCTTCTATATTAACACAAACTGGTGTCACGATGTGACAGTGATCTCCAAGCACTGTTCTCCTGCTCAGGAATATCTTTTCATTCATTGCAAGCCGTTCTACTCCCCTTTACGGCCCAACATCACTTTACTGCTGTCACCTTACTGCACTGCACTGCTTACTGCATTTTGTGTGCACCAAGTGCACTTATATATTGTATATAGTAAATTGTAATAATTTTAATTTTTATATCTTAGAAGTGTATGCTGATTTTTACTATGCATCACAAGTCTCTACCTCTCTTCTTTGATTGTTGCAGCGAGAGCCATAGCAATTTCCTATTCTGTGACTTCCTGTTACTTACATGGCAACAAAAATTATTCTGATTCTAATTTTTGTATAATATATTTATTGTTTGAATTGAATATATTATAGCCTTTCAGAAACCTATGGAGAGCTCTTTTTGTAAATGTTATAAACAACCTCTGTTATTGCAAAGGAAAGACAGTGATTAATGAGTTGAGGGCAAACATCGGTATACATAATTTTGTTCGCTCTTTGTCCGTAGCCTGAGTTCGAGGGCAGGGTCCGCTTTGACGGTGTCAGGTTTACCTACCCGACCCGGCCAGACCAGCCCATCCTGCGGGGGCTGGATCTGCAGGTGGGCAAAGGAGAGACGCTGGCCCTTGTCGGCAGCAGTGGATGTGGCAAAAGTACTACGGTGCAGCTACTCGAGAGATTCTACGACACCGCAGAAGGGAGCGTGGTGAGTTTACCCTACATGTGGTACAACCATTTATAAAGACGAGCCTCGTTTCCACTTGAAGGCCAGAGCCAGCCGCGGACCAGCTTCCAGTGAGCTCTGGTGGTTCCACAGGAGTGATGGTTCGCATGTGGGCAGGGTGAGGCATAATCACGTCGGATGAAACTGTGCAAACACAATTATCACAGATCTAATGTTTCATCACAGCAACCACAGAGAGAAGTGTGTGTTTGAAGGAAAAAAATGGGGAGGATTATTTCAATTGGAAATTTAAGTCAGTCAATGAACTTTAATTTGTAGAGCGCCTTTCCTACAAGGCAAGACAAAGCGCCTCACAACAAATATCACATCAAGCATAAATCATAAACATTAATATATACATAAAAATATGACTAAAAACAAACATTAAGATCACAAGAAATATTAAAAATATAGAAAATAAAATCACAAAAGTAATTGAAAACCTTAAATTGTTATGTCCATATTGAATAAATAAATAAATAATAATAATAAATAATAAAAATACACACTAATTAAAATGATAGATAGCCACAGTGCATTATAAAATCCTTCAGTTGTATTTACAGCTAAAGAAGAAGATATACTTTATTGATCTCACAACGGTTCGATGAATACACGTACACATCAAGGCATGCAGCGTACTATTACTGTCTGGCCCAAGGACACATCGAGAGCAGACATCAGTGGGAGTTGGTGGAGAAGGTCTCACGGTGACCTCGAACCAACGACTTTCAGGCTCAAATTTTTCAAGATTTGAAAACTGCCATAGGAATATATTCTTTTTGACTTCACTGAGCCTAAAGAAAGCTTTGGAGAACGCCCCAATGAAGAGTAATCTAAGTCCAAACATGGCCGTGTAAATAAATAGTTAGTGCTTGTGCTTTGCAACAAGAAGGTCCTGAGTTCGATTCCACTTCCAGGCCTCTCTGTGTGGAGTTTGCATGTTCTCCCTGTGTCTACGTAGGTTTTCTTCGTGTGCTCCGGTTTCCCCTACCAATAAAAACGTGTACTGTAATAGTTCAAGGTGAATGAGTGTGTGTTTGTGAGTGCGACTGTGGAATGTGGAATGGATGCAAATCAATCCGGAGAGTTGTGTTCACTGACATGCACTGTCCCAGTCCTTTTTATAACCCCCTCATAACACTGCACTGGTCATCACTGAGTACACACATAATGTAGCTCCCTTTCACCGACTGCGCTGTAGCTAATGCTTAACTAGTTTACAGTCCGTTTACAGCAGATGAGACATGACTTTTGTGCACAGTGAGGGTCATTGCATAAAACTGGTCTCATTCACACTTTATGACCATTTGAGCTCGTTCTCGGCGGCAAGATAGCAATGTCGTGCAAGCAACAAATCAGGGAAGAATGATGTTGCAAGAGAATGATCACATTAAAAGCTGGCAGGAGATGGAGCCTTCGTTATTGTGTGGCGAGCTCTGTACTTTGACCTGTTACTCAGTCATTCTGCTGTCCTCAAAGCTATAGCCGACTGTAACAGAACACGGATGTAGAGACATGTGTTGGTGATTTTTATGTCCTTGCACTAAATGCACTAACTCACAGATACAAATTATGGCCACTTGAGTTTGATGTTAATAAACCAAAACAGGAAGGACTGACTTCACAGAATATATGGGATTTTAGTATTTTACTATTACATATTTAATTATTTTACTTCTTATTTTTTATAAGAAGTACAAATAACTCAAATGATTAAAAAAATATATAAAATATATATATATATATATATATATATATATATATATATATATGTATATACATATATATATGTATATATGTATATATGTATATATATATATATATATATGTATATATGTATATATATGTATATATATATATATTTTATATATTTTTTTAATCATTTGAGTTATTTGTACTTCTTTATAAAAAATAATGATAATAATAATAGTGATATTTACAATAAAACAACATCAAGAAAAAAAAAAAAAATATATATATATATATAGATAAGCCAGAGTAAAAATATGTTATTGATTGACTTTGTTCTATTCCTTTCATATGTTTATGTTGACGTGGTGGCCCTCTAGTGACGGTTTATTGAAACTGCAACAAATATATATGTTCATGTATAATGTATATATTATTTTGTGTATTTCATTAAAGCTAACTGACTGTTTGTGTCCGGTCAGATGCTGGATGAGAGAAACGTGAAGCAGCTGAACATCCACTGGCTGCGTTCTCAGATCGGCATCGTTTCGCAAGAGCCGGTGCTATTTGACTGTTCTCTGGCAGAAAACATCGCCTACGGAGACAACAGCCGCTCCGTCACCATGGAGGAGATCACAGCTGCTGCCAGAATGGCTAACATCCACGATTTCATCGAAAACCTGCCCAAGGTACAGCCACGTGGAGCATATCATACACCAACTGTATATGTTCTAAAGCATGCACCAGGCCAGAATACTATGTGTCATATTTCATATAATTCAAAAAATATATATATATACAGTAAATATATCCATGACTGACAGCTCTTCTGGCTTTTGTCAAGGATTCCTATATAGATAGATAGATACTTTATTGATCCCCCGTAGTGAAAGAATACTGAGTGTTGTCGTATTTAGTTATAATTGAATGGAATCAATATTGAAACATAATATTATTATTTTATGCACGCATCTAAACTCTGTCCCGTCTATACTTTTATCTGGTCACATCCTAATCCTAGTCACAAAAATACTACAGTATTAAAACCTATAAACTGACTTTTCAAGAATAAACGTGCTTGTGTTGCTCCTTCTTGCTGCCCTTGTCAACTGTGCATAGATCCATAGTATCTTACACAACAAACATACACATATTGTAAATATCATAGATATTACAACCACTTCATATTTTGTTTGTGAGCCTCTTGTCTGGTAGCCTGGCTGCTTTTTCCACAAACCTTGTACTGTATGTCTAACATATCATCAAAAAATCAATATCAATAGTGTCAGAAAGCCACAATTTACTTTGTAAAATCACAATCTTTTTTATTTTTAGTCCAATCCTAGCAAGACTTTTGTGTTTGTGTGAGCAGAAGTACAACACTCAGGCTGGGGATAAGGGAGCTCAGTTGTCTGGGGGTCAGAAGCAGCGGATTGCCATCGCCAGAGCAATCATCCGTAACCCCAAAATGCTGCTGCTGGATGAAGCCACGTCTGCCCTGGACACTGAGAGTGAGAAAGTGAGTGAATACCATCTGGTCATCCTCCTCCTGAAGGTCATAATCTACTAATCATTTTTCTTTCTCTCTTGTTTTCAGGTTGTACAAGACGCATTGGACCAGGCCAGCAAAGGCAGGACCTGTATAGTTGTGGCTCACCGTCTTTCCACAATCCAAAACGCGGACCGCATCGCTGTATTCAAGGCCGGCGTGATCGTGGAGCAGGGGACGCACCAGCAGCTCCTGTCAAAGCGGGGCATCTACCACACACTGGTCACCAAGCAACTCAACCGCTCCTGAGAACCTCGGTTTACACTCACGGACAATTTTATTCAAAATGCCTAAAAACTGGTAATTCTATCTGGCGCACAATCACATACAATGTGAAGCTGAGGTGCTGTAGTTTTGGCCTCTGATGACAAATTTGCTTTAATAAGTGGTGAGAATCTGTGCAGAGGAAAATCACATTTCTAATTCTTTGGTAAAAGATAAGGAGCAGAAGAGCTGAGATCTTCTGATAGACTGTAGAATGACCCACTGTCCTCTTTCACAGCTGAGGCAAAAATCAGATTTGTTTATAAATCTTTGTTGATAAGCACTTGTTTGGAGTTCAAGCTGCTCCTGATTATTCCTAGATTTGACCAAAAATAAGTGAGACAGAAGTTTAATGGAATGAACCCCATACCTAGTAGCATGATGGTTATATTTGATCAATTAGTACAGAAGTATAGTGTAAAAATTTAACATTTTTCTCAAAATAAAAATGAAAACAGGACTAAATGTCAGAAAACTGGGCTTCACCCAGGACCAAAGAAGGACACGACAATGCTAGACTGGAGTATTATATTGTCTTTGAACCAACTACGACTCTGTAGGGTTAAAAGGATTAAAGGAATTGCAGAATACCTCTTTTTTGTACTTATGTTTTTTATAAAGCAACAAATGTGTTATGTTCCACTTCCCAAAGGTTTGATGACATGTGTTTGAAGTCATATTGAAGTGTGATTGTGTACATAAAGCCAAAGAGCCGTGATGAAGCCTACTCGCTGTGACGTGGTTAAAATGCCTTAAACTTATGTTTTACTTGTCGTGACTGTGAACTGAAATTCATTTAATGTGTACCTTCCTGTTTGTTCTCATTAAATTATATATAAAAAGTATTGACATTTACTTTTGATTTGAAGTATACTTAGTTTTGTTTCATAATACACATTGTCTGAGAGCATGAAGCTGGTCTGTTTCACTTTTCTGTCTGAAAAAGCTGCAAAGGCCAAAACGGTTTTGAGAGTGACAAATCAATGACATGGATTCTACATAATTTAATTTAATTTTCATCCCGTTATGTATCTATTTCTAATCAGAGCTGCCACCCAATCCAGAAAGCACCAGTCCCTCTGATCCTGCTGCAGGTGGTGGGTCCACAAGAAGATGGCTGCTCCTTCAACAATAATACGGCCTTGCTGTTTCAGCGGGGGCTTCAGGCAAAGTGGGGTTAAGTGTCTTGCTCAGGGACACAACGACAGCAGATGACCTGGGTCGGAGAAAGGGCAGGCTCCTTTTGTGGCATGTACACAACAAATGGCGTTTAAAACGGCATGTGGGCATCAAGTGGCGTTTAAAACGGCATGTGGGGAATAAATGGCGTTTAAAGCGGCATGTGGACAACAAGTGGCGTTTAAAACGGCATGTGGGGAATAAATGGCGTTTAAAACGGCATGTGGACAACAAGTGGCGTTTAAAACGGCATGTGGACAACAAGTGGCGTTTAAAACGGCATGTGGGCAACAAATACAGTTGAAAGCAGCCTGTACAAGACACAACAAGCAGCGGTAGAGGAGATACTGGAACCAGTGGCTCAGATGGAAGAGCACAGGTTTGGGGTTTTAATGGATGCTGGTTCAAATCAAGTGACTGCCATTGACATTTGCTGATGTTGGGTCCTTGGGCAAAACACTTCATGGAGAATGTGCCACATGTTGTTTGAAAAAAGTTATTTGGGTAATTTTATAATATAAATTACCTTCATGTATGATTAATTGTTTTAGTCTCCCAAGAAGTGTACTTGCTTGTGGCATACCTTTTTCATAACTGCCTCTCATGCAGAAGACTCCAGGTTCAATTACAGGTCTTGTTTGTATTTTTTTGTCAGATTAAATACAAATGTAATATGTATGAATAATATATATATATATATATCTTGCATGAGGATTAATATTACATCATCACTAAGGTAATAATAACCTGTCTCTCGACAGTCTACACAGTGACTACCTACCATTGACATTTGCTGATGTTGGGTCCTTGGGCAAAACACTTCATGAAGAATGTCAGAAGTGCCATAAGTTGTTTGAAAATTTCTATTTGGGCAATGTTATGAGTTATACATTATAAAGTTGTTCAAGGGCCTTATCACAATTGTATCTGCTCGTGGCACACCTGGTTTATAACTGTCTCTCAAGTGTAAGATTGCAGGTTCAAAACCAAGCCTTTGCCCGGATTTGAAGCTGGAGTCTTCTGCATAAGAAACAGTTATAAACCAAATACGCTACAGGCAGGTACGATTTATAAGATATTTAAGAAATTTATCATACATGAAATCAGGTCCTTGAACAAGTTTATGTGATAACTTATATTATAATATTACCCAAATAACTTTTTTCAAACAACGTATGGCACATTCTCCATGAAGTGTTTTGCCCAAGGACCCAACATCAGCAAATGTCAATGGTAGTCACTGGGGATTTAAACCAGCAACCGATGGAACCCCAGACCTGTGCTCTTCCATCTGAACCACTGGTTCCAGCTCCTCAAATGCTGCTTGTTGTGTCTTGTAAAGGCTGCTTTCAACTGTAATTGTTGTCCACATGCCGTTTTAAACGCCACTTGTTCTCCACATGCCGTTTTAAACGCCACTTGTTCTCCACATGCCGTTTTAAACGCCATTTGTTGTGTTCATGCCACTGATCAGCTGTGGTAGGTGCCGGTGCCACAAAAGGAGCCTGCCCTTACTGGAGGGTCGTGGAGGGAACGAACCCATAACCATTAGCTCTACCAACTGAGCCACTGTCGCCCAAGCAAGACTAGCATAATATGTATTACAAAGTGCAGCATGTGATCATAAATCATAAATGATGTTGAAGATTCAGTTTTGGGAAATGTACACTGTAAACCCTAACTTCAATCGTACTTCAGATATCAAAGTTATTTTAAATAGATTTTTCCCAGTAAGTAAATATTACTCATTTATTGTTAGTTTATTTAAAGCTTGGCTATATCACTCAGGGTTTTCTTTGAATTGAACTGTTTCTGTTCAAGTAAGCCTCACTTTTGACGTTTTGACGTGTAGAGTCTTTAATGAGGCAGGTGTGACAATGGCAGGGTGGCCTGGTGGCTGAGTGGGTAGCACCATTACCTCTCAACTACAGGGTTCTGAGTACGAATCCCAGTCGGAGCATAAGAAGAAATTTAAACTTTATTGCAATCACTTGAGTTACTTGGTAATATCAAGTAAAGGATGTACTCGAGTAATTCAAGTGAAGTTAATACGCAATTTATTTCCATGGTTTTTTCAAGTAAACTTTACTTGTCAGGGTTTACAGTGTAGTCTGTCCTCTTGAACATCTGCTGTAATATAAGCTACATAAATTATGTTTTGATTTCCTGCATTCCAAAACTACTATAGTGTAAGGCATGGAATCTGTGGGTGGAGAGAATGGGGACGACCTCTGGAAATATGAGATTAAAGAATATAAACTTAATAATAAAAAATAATTAAAACCAAAATAATTGTGCAAAACTTTAATGAGGATTATAGTGAGATGTTTCTTCACAAACTGAAATCATAAAAAAACCTGTCACTGCTTTAAATCTAACACTATCACGTGAGAAGGTTTCACAAACCAACTCAAAATAATTGAAACTTTTCCTGCCGCAGCTCCCTTCAATCACTTTAATGAAAAACAATATGAGAGAAACCAACTCAAAACTAGTCCATGAAGCAGCATGAATAAAACGACACTAACTGAATTAAAAATATAAAAATGTAATTAAAATTACAGACAAATCCTCACATATTTAAAACTGATGACACAATGCATGTATACCAGATTTTAACCCCTGACTACACAGACCATTTTTGTCTAAAACTAAAAGTTCAACGGAATCTGTCTGAAAAAAACAAATGCTTGGACCTTTGGTAAAGCTTAGGCCCTGTCATTGTTGCCTCTGATGACTCATTTACTCTCATTACAAGTGGGAACAATCTCTGCACTGAGAAAGATCAAACTCCAAAGTCTGCATACGTTTTCCATGAGATTTAGGCAGCTGTAATGAAACTAAAAGCTCCGGACGGAATACATGTCCAATACCTTTTGACTTTTTTGCGTCTGCAGTAACTCAGTGTAGCGTGTGTCCTCTGAGCTGAAGGTTGGTTCCCATCAGTGTTTGCTGCAGTGTGTCCTTGGGCGAAACACTTCACCCGCCTATTTGCATCTTTTTTTTCCTATTTCAAGATTTCACATTTCCAGGTTACATTTAATCAAACTGACATGAAGTAAAAAGTTAGTAAAGTCCAGTTGTGACAGTGGTACATTGCATTGATGTGTGCAGACAATCATAAAAACACATGTTCAGTCTCTACGGCTCCAAAGACGGCTTCCTGGTGTGTGACTACAGCTGAGGTTCCTCTACAAGTCTACATCATCACTCCGGTGAGTTACCCCTGACCACACCCTCACAGCTGGGCCCTTGTGGACAGATGCAGCATCTGGTGCAGAGAACTCGACAGGAGGTTAAAGAACACCGCAGCATCAGTCTCTCGGCAGGATTTCCACGCAGACACCGAAAACACCAGCCTGCAGGAAAATAAAACCATACTGTAATATATCCTGCTGGTCCCAGAGTCAGAACTAAACATGGGAGGCAGCTGTGCATTCAACTGAAGGATTGTACCTTCACTCTTTTTAATACTGTGATTATTTATGATGTTAATGCCTTGTTGTTTCCGTCTTGTGTATGTGCTTTGTGTATGAACTTGCAAACAAACCTGCCTGCATGCCTATTTACAAGATAATCTATACCCCTCAGAGCCTCATTATGATATACTGCGGTGCAAGAGGGGGCCAAAGCACTCCCATAGTACTCTGCTAAACATGTATGTATTCATTAGTCCATGTCATCAGATTACATACATCATATATATTGTCTTTACATTTGTGCAAACACCAAAACATTGTAATATACTTTTGAATGTTCTGGAAACGGCAGCAAGTCCTACGTAGCTCTGAAACAGTTTGTGTTTTTGTGCTTTACAATCGTTATTTTTCATGGTTTTTTTACTGTACCTGTAAATGTAGCACAGTGTTCATGGTTTTACACAAACAGATCATGAATAAATCCACTGGAGAGATGCACATTTTTTGAAAAACGCTAACAAAGCAAATCAGTATTTTGGTCTGGACCAGAGCAGAAAAAATGATCTGAACCAAGCGACTACGCCACCTCTGCTGCTGTGACCTAAAGTGCTGTTGCCTTTTATTTCTATTGTTTGCTACTTTTAGAATGATCTGTCTATTTGTTTTGTTTGTATGGATGGATGTTCCTGGACACCTGAATTTCTCCTACGGGGATCAATAAAGTATTTATCTATTCTTGGGTTTCATATGACGTCAGGGCAGTGGCGCGAAAAACGTAGGACAGGACGTGACGCACCCTGGCGGTGCAGTCTGCCGGGTATATACATGAAGATATAGTAGAAGAAGAAGCGCTGTCAAAATGCAATCTTTTTGTGCAATGTACACTTGTAGCAACCGCGATAATAATATACAAAGGAGATGTCAAACCTGTCGTCTCTAATGCGATAAAACACTCCATATCCCTGATGCACCATGGGAGCCACTGCCCCCAGGACGGTAGTGTAGCCCACCAGACTGGAGGATAGCACAAAGTTACCCCCACCTCCGCTGTAACAAAGACACCATCATTACTAAGGTTCAGACGTGGTTACAGTGTGGCTTTGCTCACAGTGCATTTATCAGTGTACCTTCTGGAATAGAGCGGGTCTTTAAATAGATCTGGAACAGGAAGTCCCTCTTCTTTTGCGACGAGGTAAAGGCCCATGAGGTGTCTGTCAAAACCTAAAGAACAACATCGACAAAACAACTTAGTTTCATTGAACAAAAGGATTTTATAAAAGTAGTTTAGTGGCTCATGCAAACTACTGTGACTCACATTGATTTGATTGATTTCTTTATTTTGGTGAAAATATTTTAAATTATTCAGATAATTCAACATAACATTAACTTATTATTTACAATTAATGATTTTCTGACTTTGACATTTAACGTTGACAGTTCAGGTGAAGTCATACAAACCTTTTCCTTCTTGAGCTTCGGCCATTAGTTGGTTGTGTTTATCAAATGCAGAGAGCATCAGTTTCCTCTGAGTGTTCATCTAAAAGAATAAACATATAAATACAAATAAATAAAGTGTATGAAATGATGCATGTTGTTGTGGCTCACGTCACAGTGGGGGTCCAGCATGGCCTTACACCAGTCCCTTGCCTCGGAGGTGGAGGGCCGCATGGTCTCTGTGCGTCCGTGGAAGAACTTACGCGTCATGGCCGTCTCATAACAGCTGCCAGGTCTGAGACAAAAACACACAAATGCTCTCACGAGGCACTGTTCAATAAAGTCAACGTCATCGCCATTTCCATCTGCAAAGTAAAGCAAAGTACCGTAATGACTATACGCTGTAAGCCAATACTGCTGAATCCTATCTAAGTATTTGTGGTAGAGTATCCTCCAGGCCGCAGGACAGAATATGGACACAGCTCTATCAACTGTTGTTTATGTGAACAGCAGAGAGGGAAGGAGAGGGAACCGTCACAGGGAAGAACAGGGAAACACAGGGCTGTTGTCAGAGCAGAGTATATTTGACTTATTATTTTGACTTTAGTCGCAAGTTTATAGTCAAAATAGATTAGTAAATGAGTCACCACATTGAAAGTAATCGTTAAGGTAAGCATGCACACATTGCTGTGGTCTGTTAACAGAGTCATCTATCTGCTTTGTTTTTGGATGTGTTACATTAAAACGTGAAAATCTGCAGTTTATACTGAAGAATTTACAGGTGCCTTCTTAGTCTGACCAGTACTGTGAATGTGCTTTTTAAACAATTATTCAGCAACGAACGTTCTGTACACTGATATAATAATCTATGGCTCTTTATTAAACATACTGTTCATCTGAAATGTTTGAGCTAAAACAATGCTATAGAAAGTACGAGTCGAGTCGCACCCTTTTGAGCAAAAATAGCCATTGGTGTCGGATGGATCCTCCACATATCACAACAGAAAATTGCCAAAGCAAGCAAGTCAAATCCTCAAGCTTGAACAACGCCAGCGCATGTATTTGAGGATATAAATAAACAGCTTTGTGTGTGTGTGTGAATGACGAGGGGAAATACCTTTAGCTATCACCAAAAGCTGAGGAAAGTTGACTGTTAGGTAATTTAAAGCTAACTTCTTACTTGTTGTGAAGGCGATAGTAGGTCAGCTGCATCGCCAACTGGATGAAAGTATCAGGATGCAGCTTCTTCTGTTTGATGGCGGATTTTCCAAACGCAGTGAAGGCGTAGCACACAACCTGTAGATCCTGCGTCTGCACCAAATCAGGATACAGTAGATCAGTAACAAATTCATATAAAATGTAAACCCACAATTACTATGTTCTTGTAATGATTAGTCACAACATATTATTAAACGTCGGTACAGAATGAGGCTTGAAAATATTTGGACAAATCAGATCAAAAGGTTTTATCTTTCGCATACATTACACTCCTCACTCCGCTCATGACTAAACACCGAACATTGGGGGAAGGAGCCTTCGCCTTCGCCGCCCCCACTCTCTTGAACTCATCAGAAACTCCGACTCACTACAGAACTTTACATCACTTCTCCAAATCCACCTTTCAGCTTGCATTTCCTTCATTTTGTTCTTGAATGTTTATTTTTATGTGTTTTGTAAAGCGTCTTTAAGTGTATTATTGTAATAATAATAATAATAATAATTATTATTATTATTATTATTTTATTATCATCATCATCATCATCATCATCATCATCATCATCATCATCACATACGACTTGTTTGACTAAGATCTGATTTGGCTGAGTCTCAATTTTGTGAAAAATCTTAAAAATGTGATAGAGGACAATTAGGACATCCATGAAAAAACTAGTGGAAACTATTTTGAGAGAACAGGATGGATTTTATTACATACAGTAGATCCAGTTTTGGTGATTTTAAAGGCTAGGTACCCCAGCTTTAATGCAAACCCATTACTCACCGTCTCCTGATACTGCTTCTTGGCGTGGCTGATGTCGCTCAGCGCTTTACTGTCCAAAGTGAAAACCAGCTCTTCCGGAGACGGCAGAGGTCTTACGGTGTCCGGTCCCTAAAGACACAACTCTGAATCTGTCGTCTACACAAAGATTGTAACAAATGAAAACACAAAGAACCAAAACGACACCTTCCATTCTCCACCTGTGGCTCGCAGCTGCTGGTCCATGTACCAGCACAGAGACACAAGGACCATGGCATCGTACGGCGCGTGCTGGAACAGGGAAAACAACATTCAGATATAGAGGCGACAAAACAGCAAAATTGTCAGAAATTAGCTAATTCTTCAATTTAAAAAAAATACTTTTAATCATGCTGCATGTTTCCGTTCATGTTTTATAGACTTGCTTTTTTTGTGATTCATAATGTTTTAGTGTTTTTTGTATATATTTTTTATTTCACAGACTGTAGTACAACATACAGATTCTTGAAAGAAACAATACAGAAAATAATGACAATAAATAAAGGAATTAGACGTAAGTGTACAAAAAATGTTTGCATCGTTAATATTCTCCAATTAATGACGCTGAGGGGCGCCTGTTCTCTGCAGCTGTATATTACAGTGTATGCACTGCAGCAGCGCGTGTCTCCGCGATCGCATTTCAGCAGTTGTGAGTTCAGGTGGTTAGAAAAGTGTAGAGAATGTGGTGAGGGGTTTTACAGCCATAAAACATGTAGCTGTTTCTTTGCGGATTTTACTTATTCCTGTTTTTGTTTGAGCATAGACCTCTGTGTACAATTAAATGACTAAAAGTGCACATACCATTTTACTTTGTTTAGCTCCTGGATTTCAACTAAAACAAGAAAACCAATGGTTTGTGGAAAGCTTTATGTTATTACCTATTACTAGTGTCTGGTATTGAAGAACCAAAATACTTTTATTTCAACTAAGAAGACAAGATGAATAATGAATGAGCTCATTGTCTGCATCTGTGACTTTATATAATCAAGCAGCTGTTTATACCTTAACAAATACATGAGACATTTTTTTATATATTTCTATGAATAATATGAGTACAGCTGCTTGGACTGAAACAAAATTGGAACAAAGTCAATGAGGCTCAGTGTTGTAGACTTCTGGGCAATAATTACTTAATAATAATTACTTATTCTTGGTTTAAATATATTCTTGATCCAATTAGCTTTAAAACAATGTATAACACATACGTTGTGGCTCTGAGAGCCCCTTTCACGTCAATACCCGTGTTTTAGATCTAATTTGTAGAAGCCTTCAATATATATAATAATGGGCATCGTAAATGATCACTATGAAGCTGATAAAAGAACAATATGTCGTCACTTACATCACAGTTGGATCCAAAAGTGCCATCTGAATACACAATGGAGTTGTAGGACTTGTCCCCCCAGCGAATCGAGGGATCACCGACCATGGCCTCCAATGTCATCTGCATGGAACCATAAAACTATTACACAGGGCTCTGACATTTCACAAAACCCAACAAAGGAAGCACTGGACATACTGATTTCACTTATGTGATTTCACAAAATGACATTATTTGTTTTGTTTTAACCAGGTAACAACTTTAATCCCTCATCATGATCTGGACAAATGTATTTCTACTAAATTCTTTCATAATCTTAAACTTGAGGCTGGGGGTGGGGTTCAGGGGTTTGGGTTAATCCTATTGCAGTGAAATCTGCTGAGCCATATTTACTTACATTTGTGTAGTTGTATGGTGTGGAGTATGGCTTGGTTTCGTCCAAAGAAATGACAAACAAGGAGCTTTGAATAGCCTCCAGATGGTCCTTGTTGCGTGGGTCCAGATTGACAAGATGCTCCCGGGCCTGAGGATGGAAGCACAGTTCAGCACATTTACACACATTTAATAAGACTGAAGGTTTAGACTGAAGCTGATGTTTATTTTGCCTACCCTTATTACAAGTGTCAAATAGAATAAGTGAATGTATACATGAGGATTTGGAGAAGCAACTGTATAAACATTAAGATTCTGAGCTCATGAAGCCATCCAAAATTCTAATGATGCTGAAGTGCAACTGTTCAGGTCGCACTGTACACCACGGCCCCCTGTGACTTATGACACACTACTGTAGGTCTTATGAGAAGCCCCGATGGACCAGTGCATCTGTGTCCAAACCAAGACCTGTGGGTCAAATGTTGCCCTCTGTGTAATTTCATTAGGCCCTCTGCCTGGGTAGCCCAAAGTAGTCCTTGAAATCCTAAATTTTGTCAATCAGCCAACTTCAGCTCAGTCAATATTGGCACGGTATACGTCTTTGTAAAAGACAAAAGACCTCAGGAAAAAAGACCTCAGGAAATGAGCCATTGATTTGTTTTCAATTTTGTCACAAAGTTGTTAATGGTGCTAATGCGGCTGGCGAGAGGGTTGAGTGAATGAATGAATGTTTAACTGACTTTGAGAAATTTTCGAATGTGAGCGCTGGGCCCGCTCTTTTTCTCGCCCTCCCCGCACCCACAGAGCTTTCGCCCCCCACTACCCGCCTCCCCCTCAGCCTGTGCTCACATGCTAAATGTATATGGAGCTCACGTCTCACAATATGGATCGCACAATTGAACGTGGATGACGTGACCATAGAATAATAGAACCGGGAAGCACGGAGAGGACGAGACTTTCTTTTGGATGGATGTTTCGCTGAGTAAGCAGAAACCGGTAACGAAGACACGGGAAGTTTCAGGTTAGCCTCCGCTGTGATTGGTCACAATCTGGTCCCGAAACAAATTCTCTTCCTTGTTTCACAAAAACTCGATCTAAAATGTAATGTCACGCCAGCACAAATCTGCGCTACTTTTTCTTCAAAAGGACGTATATCCCAATGCACTGCATGGATGTGGCTTGAATTTTTGTAATAAATACAAAAATAAAGTCAGGTAATGCAGCTTTAAACAAAATAAATAAACAATTGATGTCCAAAATAGGAGAGGGAAGAAGTTAAAAAACACTTGTGGTGTAATCCCACCCCTACTTACAACTCTGATTGTACAAAATAAATAATATCTTCCTGGTAATGGTAATTTGTAGTTGAGCCTTCAGCTTTGTTATAGTTAATAAACAAGCTCAGAACAGACTAAATCCAGTCTTAACAGTTTTACAATCTGGGTTGTCGGCCCTTGAACAAACCTGGTTAACAAATGTGGCCCTTTTAATAAAAGGTTTGGACACCTCTCCTTTACAGGCTGTGCTGAGGGGCCTTATGTACGATTTCATTTGTCAACTGAACAAGTCAGAAAATGAGATGATACTAGCTCTGACAAACATTAGATTCAGTGAGTTCAGTCCAAGATGTGGAGACACTGGTATGCCTGTCATTTAAAGTCCTGACTGTTTCATCATCATCAAGCTTTATTACAGACTCGTGGTCAAACATCACATAAAACACTAAACAACACATATGTTTTTTGTTATCATTGTCTTGTCTGTCTGTATGTTTTAATATGGACCTAGCAAAGTTTAAAGGAACTATACCGGATTTATTTTTGAATGATGTGTATTACTACATACAAGTTGTATTAAAAACAGGAATTTATTGAATAATAGAGCTTATTGATTCAGCATAAGAAATCAGGCCCTGCAACGTGCTGAGTTGACACTTATCAACGATAGTGACGCTAGTTCTTTTCCACTTGCACAACGAGGGGTGGTGCTGTTGCGGCTGCAATGCAGGAAAACAGAACGGCATGGCAGCCGAAGAAGGATCAACACAGAAAGTGGCTATACCTCCTCTGGCTGTAACTTCATACACAGCAAAACAGCTCAAAAAACGCAAAAGTGAGGAGAAGAGGGAACTAAAGCGAAAAAATTATGAAGCTAGGTAGCTTACATCGTATCCTCACTGCAGAGACCGCTGCGGGACCGCCTCAGACTACATTTGGACGCAAAACTAGCGGTTATTCTACTTGATAGGTAATTTTTCAGTACCACTTTATCAGTGATTGTCGTACAGCTTACGGGTTGATGTGCTAGCGCTAATGTTAGTATAATAAAACTAGATGGCTTTGTGGGAGTAGAGCGTAGGGGAGAGTAGGAGGGTTTCTTAAAATAAGAAGCCTGTGAGGAAGTTGGGGGCGGGGCTAAACATTCAAACAAACAAAAACCTTTGAGAACCGGGTATAGCTGCTTTAATTGAATTGAGATTCTTATTTCTAAATACTTAAAACTACCCTGGCAAGAAGTAAAGACATTATTCATCTAAAAAGTAATTGCGAAATACCCAATAATAGTCTCACCTTCGCCCAACGAGTCCTCTCCTCTGATGTGAGCGCAGACACCCCGTCGCCCCGTGCTCTGCTCTCACACTGCTCTTTCACGGAGCTCAACTGTCTAAAGAACAAAATATAAAGACATCGTCAGAATCTATGTAAAACACTGAAATAATTTTACTCGTACTCAATGAAATGGACGTCAAACAGCCTTTGGGGGAGTGAAATATCTGGATGGGAGTTAAAATATCTGTTTTTACATTGCCCAAAGAACCACTCTCGAAAGATTGTCTAGTGTGGACGAATGAGGGATTTCACTGTCATTAAACCAAATGATAAACGGTTCCAATTACTGTACTGTCCCATCTTTGTTTTAAGTGCATAGAGCTATACTTTATCCTGTTATTAGTTACTTTGCATTTACAATGTGTATGGTTTCAAGTTGTGTCCTTGTCAAATAAACCAAATAAATGTATGAATTACATCCATAAATGATAGAGGGGCCCTCTTATAGTGATAGAAGTGGGAAATAGCATTCTGTTCATATTTTCTCATGGTAAGAATCTTAATGGTTGTTTGTTTAAAAAGGCAGAATATTTTTGTGCCAGAAGTCTGAGAATGTATTTTTTTGTGAAGTCTGTATTTTCACCAGTTACATACAGAGCGGACACGTTCTGATAAATACCTAAACAGCTCAGGAGGCGTCAGGATTTTTCCATCATAAACAGCATCAAACATAAAAATCCGTCCCCGACACAAGACGACGAGATGAACTGGACACGCCCCCTCAGACTCTGACACACAACAGACAGTGGCGGTAAAGATACAATACAATACACAATACAATTTATTCTTGTATAGCCCTAGGTCACAACAGAAGTCATCTCAGAGGACTTAACAAAACCATTGAAATCACCAACACAGATCAGAGAATCAACAGTTAAAACACATGATGAATATAAAGCACACACAGAAGAAAATGTCCATACATGTTGTAGAATGCTAAAGTGTCCTGATCATCACCAATCCTTTCTGTTGGACACTAACTGTCCAACAAGACCCTCCTGCATCGACAAGGAAAAACTCTTAAAAAACCCAGTGGGAAAAAGATGAGAGAGATCGTGGCTCAGGCTGATTATATGTACATGTATGTCTATAATTGTGTGTGTGTTTTTGTCTTATACCATCTGTGCTAGTCGTGTATTGTGTTACTGTTTGTACTGTGTGGCATGTGTGATGGGGGTTGGAATCAAAGAAGCATTTTCTTCATCCAACTCTATTCCGATCCACGTACTTATTATTTATCTCTTATGTCAGTATATGTGAAGATATGTGCTGGGAAGGTTTGAAATAAATAATCTTGATAAAAAAACATTGTACCTGTTTTGAAATAATTATGAATGCTGTCCTTTGTGATGCCAGGTACTTTACAGGTGTTGAAGAGCATCCTGAACTGGTCCATGTCCAGTGGAGTTTTCCCCGCTTTTTGTGGAGGAAGTTTTTCACTAAACGTACACAGAAAACAATGTGCAACTGACTCAAATTGTGTATTAAAGAATACACTTAGGGAAGAGGGAGAATTTAGTTTCTTTTATCCCCCGTATACCAAAGTCACAATTAACATACGTCTTTTAAAAAGATTTAATCTGAATTGTATTTTGGTTCAAATGAATTTTTTAGGGGTAGGTTCCCATAATAAACAGCCTTACGTTCGGATCATATCCCAGTATTGCAGGGAGAGCCAGGTGCAGAGGCTGGCTCTCTGCAACTCTATCCCTTCAGCCGGAGGCCAGCAGTGCTCCAGGTAGGGGGCGGGGCCTCCGAAGTTCACATAGAGCTGAGAAGGAGCTCGCACCTCCAGGTACGCCGTGTCCAACCACCACTCCTCCAACTATACAACAGAACAAACCATGACTCTTACATACTTCGCCAACGTACAAACACATACTTCAAATACTTTCATAGAGGAGTTAAGGGACAATAATGTATTATGTGTGTTACTTTTGGCCCTTAGAACTAGATATTTTTTATGAAATATTTTGTATTCGTGAAATGTGACTAGTTCTACCTTCAACTTCCAGAGCCGTCATTTTGACTGCTCCATTCATTTTAATGTAAAATTTAAATGCAACCAACATTCTATGGCAGTAAAAACCCCTTTTCTCCAAGGTGCTGGTCTTGGTCTTGATTCTGAGCTGGCTTCCATCACATTGTTTACCATTAGCAGTTAGCATTGGTAGCTTTTAACCAAACTTTTGTTTCTGTATTTTAAGTTAAAATAACACATTTAAGCACTTACAAATTTAAAAGTAAGTAAAGTTAAAAAACCTTTTAAATGTCTTATTTTTAATAAAACTGGTAGAAAATTTATCTAGCTTTTTGGAATTTCTCCGAATTTCATTGGTTTGTTAGTAGTTTCGGAATTGTGGGAGTCCTAGTTTTGAACCTAATATCAAGAATGTTTACTATGGAATTGTAGGATTTAGAATCATTAGTATGTGTAAAACATTACACAGTATTGGGAATACAGCAATCCTGTGATTTGTGAAACGAGGTGGAAATTGCATTCTGCTCTTTTAGTAAACAAGTACAATACAATACATTACAATACAATACAATTTATTCTTGTATAGCCCTAGGTCACAACAGAAGTCATCTCAGAGACTTAACAAAACCATTGAAATCACCAACACAGGTCAGAGAATCAACAGTTAAAACACATGAAGAATATAAAGCACACACAGAAGAAAATGTCCATACATGTTGTAGAATGCTAAAGTGTCCTGATCATCAACAATCCTTTCTGTTGGACACTAACTGTCCAACAAGAACAAGTACACACAAACTAATACTAATAATACACCATTAGAAAGAATATGTTTTACTACTGTCACAGATTATTATTTGTATTGTTTAGATCAACCCTTTACCCAGTTTCTCCTCTGCTTTGCTCGCTGCTGTAGTTTGAGGTTCAAGTCTTTGCCGACACCATCTTCAAATTCCTGCACGATTTGGACAGTGGTCCGTAACTCCTCCTCTGACGCAAACGGTTTTACTGAAAGAAAACACAACACATGCTTGAGTTCACAAAAATGTAGACATATAACATATAATATATAATATATATAACATATAATACATATTCTGGGATTCAGGTCACAGTTTTGGATTAATTTAATTGCATTTTTTAGCAGTGCTTTTTGGAATCTTGCTTAGTTTTTCCTTAAAGAGTTTTATAGTAATGATAATGACATTATTAGTAAAAGACAAGACTTATATCTTGTTCAACTAATGTTCAACTCTTGATTGCTTTCCTTGTACACTCAATACCCATACAAAGCAAAACAATAACATGATACAAAATAAACAGAATTACATTTTGAAAAGAGGTCAGACAAAGCAAGTATTGTAATCGGCTCTGCTTTGTCTGTAGGCACAACTTTGATGTCAGCAGAAACATAACCCACAGATTGGATTTTTCCCCATAAAAATTAATGACACATTGCTGTCAAATCATCCACATGACAGATAAAAAGAATGTAAAAAGAGTGGGCGTGAGATCAGGGGCTCTGCTCAGACCTGTATTCAAATTAACTTCATATCAGCTCTTACAGGGATCTGGGAGTTATATTTGCTGTATTTTCAGATGTTTTAGGCGGTCAGTCCCTTGTGCCGCTGTGAGCATGTTTAAATGTGTTCTGTGGTTTTGGTGAGATTAACAAATGATTTTGAAAATTGTGGTGCACGTCTCATCTTATTGTATATGACATGGCCTGAACATGTCCCTGATGGCAGGTGGATTATGAGTAAGCTCCCACTGCAATGAATGAAGCAAAATGCGGCTTCAATTCAAAGTCAGATCAATGTTCACACACGGCTGGACAAAAGACATTCCTAGTCATACTGGTCTGATGCCGCCATGGGGCTTGTGGCAGTAGAGGTGGTCAGAGGAGACTATAAAGAACTCAAACATGCATGTCAATGAATGTTGATAAATGTCCATACATGTTGTAGAATGTCAAAGTGTCTTGGATCATCACCACAGTCCTTCTTGTTAGACACTAAGTGTCCAACAGACCCTCCTGCATCGGCAAGGAAAAAATCTAAAACCCAGTGGGAGAAAGTGAGAAACCTCGGGGAGATCCACATTGAGAGAAAAATCCGCTCCACACAGACGGACGGGCTATAGATCCAGGACCTAAGATCTGAAAACAACTTAGTGTGTAAATGACAATGTGGTCAAAACATTATGTCCCCTTAAAGGACACCTCATACCTGCTTCTAGATACTTCTGTAGACTCTGGTGTAAACAGGGCAAAGGCAGCGGAGGAAGATGCTTCTGGAACTGAAAGGTCCGCTCAGGGACAGACTTGGACGGGTCAGCCATGTCGACCATGTCTGGAATAAGAGACACCATGAATAATACCAACATTACCAATCTTACCTTTCACCCCATCCATTGTTATGGATTCATAAATATTTTGGAAGCTGGAATAAGTGTGTGTGGATAGGGAAGTCTGGGAAGTCTGGGCTTAGACTGCTGCCCCCACAACCCGGCAACGGATGAAGCGGAAGAAAATGGATGGATTTTGGAAGCCTAGTAATCTCTTAATATTGTTATCATCATAACTACATACATATCTCAAAATGTATACGATAATCTGCCGAAGCAAAATCCCAATTTGATACAAAATACAATAATTCTGATTCAGATGACAGCTAAATAATGTAAACACAAGTGTGTAATTCATTCATCACAAATTATTATACTTCTTTCATACTTCACTGTGTCTCTCTCTTGAACGCCCTTTGAGTCCACGTAACCAAAACCAATTGTCAAGCAGTTACAAGTCAACAAACAATCATATTGTGGCCGACAAGCATCAGGCTAAACTAACACTACTACTACACAGTAAAAGTGCTAAATTAACATATCATAGTAAATGTGTGATGACGGTCAATAGAGGACATATCATTTCTACATATACAATATGCAACTTCCTACAGTTTATGGAAACATGTCTCTTGACCTGGTTGATAATCATGCAGATATCTATGAACTTTTCCCTGGAAAAAAAACTGGTGCAAAGTTCACTCCCAGAACAAACTAACTTCGTATTACCAACATAGTTTCCAACAATATACGCAATCATACCCATGTACAGTGTATGGACTCAGAGCATAATTCCAACCGGATTATTAACAGATTGCATGGTTCAATCTCAGTCTGTGTGTAGCTTGGATTGTATTAAAGAAGGTTATTGCATTGTTGTTATCGATAATAGTCCTCCGTGCACCTCCAGGCAAAGCATGAAGTGACTTTCTATCTGTGAATACACTTTTGCTGGAGCTCAAAGTCATGTTTTGTTCTAGTAACCTAATGCGAAGCTAACTCCACTTTAAGCATCCCTTGTTCTGCTTCCCTCCAGCCACTTGCGGAACAGAGAATGTTATTGATCCATTTCGTTCGGCTTTCAACAAATGCTAATCATGACGATAATTCAGTATATTTGTCCATTGTAACAAAACACCATGTATGTTATTTATCTTACCGTAACGCAGGCAGCACTCATGTATACGTAATGCAGATGGTTGTCAGACTTTCCGTGTTTTGCACTGGTCACCTTTACCCTAAAACCATTGTGCAGTCGGCAACCTGTACTGCGCATGCGCAAACAAAGGTGGCTGACCCACTGCGAGAGAAGGGGTAGCATCCAAATTCCTCACTATTACGTCCTTTTTCATCTATCCTTCTACTGTTTGTTGACCTTGGTAGCATTATTTTGTAGCACAGAAGTATTGTCTTTCTTAATTTTTTTCTTGACGACATTTGGAGCGATGTTGTATCTTGAGTGTAACTGTTAGATGAAAAATTAAGGAGGTTCTCTCCGAACTCGGTTGCGGGTCAGCACTTCAACGCACTAGTTTTGCATTTCAATAGTTTCAGTTTACACTAATTACACTAAAAACTAAAAAGTAATCATGTGAATTTCCGGTAAGCATTTACCACTAGATTTATTAGACACATTTCAGAAATTACCATGTAAGTGTTGGTGATTTCAATGGAAAAAGTAAAACCTTAAAGAAAAGTCACTCTATAAACACAGTAGAACTTATGAGGGTTTTATTATTATATGTTCATATTTCTATGTTCTATCGTCTGCATTTATAGAATATAGAATACATTGTGCAGTGTTTATTTTTGTATGGCCATTAGAGGTGGCAATCAAAATATTTGATTTGTAATTCAATGTTAAATATCAATGTAATGTATTTAAAAAAATATTGATAAAGATGACTATGAGTGAAGAAAATAATCTGCGAACAGTGCTGTCTCGTGGTAGAAGAGAGAAATAACGGTCTTTTTGTTTACAGTTGGGTCCATGGCGCTAACAAGGCACAGGGCCCTCTAGTGGACCAGAAGCAGAGGTGCAACATCGTGACCAGCAGTACATTTACAGAAAGTGAAATGTAATATTTAACCCTTGTATTATGTTGAAAAAAAATTACATTGATTATGTTGCGGGTCATTTTGACCCGTACTGTGTAAATGCACTCAAAACAGTCAAGAAAACAGGTTAAACCAATAACAACTTTATTTTAGGTTAAATAAATATTTAGAAAAGTGACATACAATACATTATTAATTCCAACGCTATATTTAAGAAATATTTAGTCTAATCTTCTTGTCCTCCACTCGGGTCAAAATGACAATTCTTCCCTCCTTGTTTCCTCCTGCCATGCTTTCTCCTTCCTTTTTCTCATCCTGTTTTCCTTCTCTCTGTTCATCCTCCTCTATTCCCTTCTTTTCTCTTCCTTCCTTTCTCCCTTCTTTCCTTCCTACCTTTCTTCCTTCCTCCCTTCCTCTTTCCTTGACCAAAGATTCGTCCTCTGAATCTTCCTTATTGTAGAAATATTGACAATCTGGATCAGCAATGAGATCATCCTCTGTCTCTGAAAAATCCTCTGTTTCTGAAATCTCTTCCTCTACATCACTATCCCAGTTAAAAATCTGTGATAAAGACTCCTCAGATGTCATCCTTCTGGAGCTCATTTTTGGTGAGTTTGTCTAAAGCCTAGCGTACATTGACAGAGTAACTGGAGACAACTAGTTGCAAGGTGGCTTTTGGCAACTGAGAGTAGATGATCAGTTGCCGAAATCTGTCGATGTGAGCGCTCTTACAACTGGAGATAAACAGTCAATCTCCGGATTCAGTCAGTTACCCGTGTTCTACTTTTCGGCAACTAGTTGTCCTCAGATCCCGAGATATCACCCAATGTGCGCGCTCCAACAACATGGGTGTATTGCGTGTATTGCGCCCTCTACAGTTTATGCCAGAAAACACTGTAGTTGACGGCTGTTGTTCCCGACACTGGCCTGCTACTAGGAGTTGCCCGTTTTCGCCAGATTGTCGATGTGTGCGGGGCAGCAACTCAAAGATATACGACGGATATAATGAGTTGCCAGTACAATGTACGCTAGGCAAAAGAGATGACATGAGAACAGTGAAAAGTTCCCTCTCTTCACACACCTGGCTCTGGGTCTCAGAGGCAATCAAAATACAATGTCAAAGAGACATGTTTTTTTGGATCTGAACAACTATTTACCCACATTAAAGCGTCTGGGTCAAAATGACCCGCAACATCATCTTTGCATACAAAGTCTGCACAGACATTTCACTACACATCAAAGTTTCCAGATTTTACACACCAGTTCATGACCCTAGATGAGGAAAAGTCACCAAATATCAGCAAGAAAAAGAAAGAATAACCAGTACTTTGATCAACACAAAAACTGAAATGGGTCAAATTGACCCTCAACATAATACAAGGGTTAAAGAACTATTCTACTTTGACAGAAAGTCTATAACCATTTGATCTCATCCAACTGCACTGGACACTCAGTCAGTGATGGGAGGAACACTTCATGCATTTAGAAAAGGGGATGGTGTTATTTAATTGGTTTAGTAAATTAAGTAAATTGTAAAATCCTTAATGAAAAGTTTTTAGTCGCGGAATCTGGATACAAGAGGTCAGTAAGTGTACTCCAATTCAGAGGTAGGATCAAGTCTCTGTAAATTTCAACAACTGTTGTAATTCCTTTCAATAATGTGTACAATTTATAGAACAGCTCATGTTGCAATTCATACGATTTGTGTGAATACCGCTGTTCCCTGGACCTGTCCCGGACTGGGTGGTGCAGATGGAAGTACCTGGAAGGAGCAGAAAAGATCATGTGAGCCGCAGAGGACTATTCCACCAATAATACACAAGTACTCCTTCTATTTTTAAGAACTGATCCTTTCTTTCTTTTGTTTCTTTGGAGGAGCAGAAGCAGAGCTGGGATCCCCAGGAGCTGTGTCTCGGTGAAGGGTGTTGTTGTACACTTTTTGTATCCTTGTTTGATCCCCTTTAAAACGACAAATGTTTTTATAAGATTGTGTGTGGATTGTTGTGTGGTTGTGTGCTTCTGTTGCAGGTGTCTTTGCTGTTCAGGGAAACAAGGTGAGTATTGATGAATTACAGTCACATTATAGTCACAGGAATCACTTATTTATTTATTGTTTTTGAGTTTTTTTAGAAAGAAAGCAGGAGGTGAAAAACATTGAAAATGGCTCAGACAAAAAAATATACAGCACAGGTACAGAAGTCTATTCTATCGGTACATGGAGTCCAGTAAATGAATGTGTTTTGTTCCCGTGAGGTCAGAGAGTGAGAGCAGAGAGTGGAGAGGGGAGTGGAGGAGGAGGTTAATAACCTTGTTTTCATATCAAACACAGGTAAATCATTGTGTTTTGTTTGTCTCTGCTCCCACTTTATTACAAGAAGGACAATCTTTAACATCTTCCTAACTGGCAATGTGTTGAATACTTACCACTTTTATGCGGACGACTGTCACTCAAACCCCATGGTTCGCCCACATCTTGTTACGTCTGAATGAGAGGAAAGCAAAGGTGATTTATATTTTATATGTCATTTAAATGTGTTTTGATATACCGATTGTCCTATTAATCCTTGTTTGTTTAATCTGCAGAAAGTCAAGGTATGCAGCGATACCCTTTGTTATTGTTCTGTTGAATGGCCGATGGTGGACCATGTAACGGACAAAACCTTTCAAATGAACTCGTCCTCCTGCCCTGCATGTGTGCCAGACATGGCTGTTGATGGAAACAGAAAACTATAGTTTTAATAAGCCTTCAAGGTATAAAAAGACCTTTTAACATAGATGTGTTTATTAAATATTCACAATGTGTGTATGCAGGACGACAGAATCTGCTTACTTTGAGGGAGTAATTGTTTGCGGGGATCAGCAAGTGGCAGCTGCTGTAAGTGGCAGCTCTTAAAAGGTACATGTTTTTATCTTTCATTTCTATCTGCTCGTTACACACAACGCAATACAATTTATTCTTGTATAGCCCTAAATCACAACAGTAGTCATCTCAGAGGACTTAACAGAACCATTGAAATCACCAACACAGATCAGAGAATCAACAGTTAAGACACACAAAAAATCAAACACATATGTATTGGTTCATAGGGAGAGACCAATGTCAATGAATGTTGATAAATGTCCATACATGTTGTAGAATGTCAAAGTGTCTTGGATCATCACCACAGTCCTTCTTGTTAGACACTAACTGTCCAACAGACCCTCCTGCATCGGCAAGGAAAGTATCTAAAACCCAGTGGGAGAAAGTGAGAAACTCGGGGAGATCCACATTGAGAGAGAAATCCGCTCCACACCGACGGACGGACTATAGATCCAGGACCTAAGCTACAGAACGAGGACCATCGTTATCCCAGAGCTCTTAATCCGTTCCCAGTTAATCAGTTGGAACAAAAGTCCACCCCCAGAAGACCAGATGCTGAAGCTTCAGAAAGTGAAAGAAGATCTGAGTAAGATCAATCTACGCAAAAGTCCGGATGCAAACACAAGGTATGTACTGAAAGGTTGATGAATATTCTGAAGTCTTCACATTGACATGTTTAACTCATCTCTGCAGCTGTGGTCCCAATGCACCTCAAAGACACCATCATCATTCCAGCACCAAAGAAGTCCCCACTCTCCAGCGTCAAGGACTACTGATGCTATCTGCATCAGTATTGCTGATGACACAGCAGTGGGGGACTACTCAGCAACAGAGACAAGGCAAACTGCAGGAGTGAGGAGAGCAGGCCTCCCATGTGGTGCATATAGAACCATCTCTCTCTAAATGTGGACAAGACAAAATACCTTGTTTTGGACTTTCAAAGAGTGCAGGTCCACCATGCTCCTGTAACAATCAACAGTCCCCTGTGGAGAGGGGGACCAGCACTAAGTTCCTGATGTGCACACACAGGACTTCTCCTGGACCATGCGCACTACATCACTGGTCCACAAACGTAATCCGAGTCTGGGCTTTCGCAGCAAGTGGAGAAGCGTCAGAGTCCCAGTCTCAGTTATGTGCAACTTCTACAGAGAGACTCGAGAGCATCCTGACCAGCTCCATCACTGTGTAGCACGATGCCAGCTCTGCCACTTGCTGCAGGAGCCTCCAGTGCATTGTGAGAGAAACTGGGAAGGTCTGTGGATTGGCTGCTTTCAGGACAGCAGGTTTTTTACCTTCCAAGATTAAAAAAGAGGGGGAAAGCCTTTACTATTTCAAACGGGGCCAATTGTCATTAAAAT